GTGTGACCAAAACTTCTCCCGTCTTCCCGCTAAAAGTCCCGTGGTGCATGGAGTGTCCGTCAGTCGTGGTTTACAGGTTATGGTTAAGTCGATGTCCGCTTTAGCCCCGCCCATAATAACTCACGGACCTATCAGCTGCGTCGTCCTGTCCAGTGTGCAGTGTGTGGTGTAAGTGCAGTAACCGAGCTCTGCCACTACGAGTGACCGTGGCGCTGTTCCGTCGTAAAGTCATCGCTTCAGCACGTGTCCGGCTGCAATGGTTTTTGTAATGAGGTATAATTAAATAAAACTAGAGGAACCGTGGATACTGTCGCCGTGGGAATTGCCGCAGCCATCTTGTGACTGTAAGAAGATCAGATTCTATTAGAAAATAATCGAAGAACAGGGCGAGAAATGGCATTGATTAAAAGTGACACATATGGGAGCTTTAACTTCTTGGGTTCTTCTTAAAGACAATACAGTAAAGTTGGACAGTTCTGAAGATGGCTTGCAGCGAGCAGCCAAAACATGTCAACAAGTTAAGTACGCTTTACTGTATTGTCTTTAAAAAGAACCCAGTTAGTTAAAATATATAAGAAGATTGGTGCAGTGTCGGCAGTGATGCAGTCGCTGTATCGAACTGTTGTGGTGAAGAGGGAGCTGAGCCCAAAGGCAAAGCTCTCGATTTACTGGTCAGTCTTCGTTCCTCCCCTCACCTATGGTCATGAGCTCTGGGTAATGACCGAAAGGACGAGATCGCGGATACAAGCGGTCAAAATGAGTTTCCTTCGCAGGGTGTCTGGGCGCTCCCTTAGAGATCGGGTGAGGAGCTCAGTCACACGGGAGGAGCTCAGAGTAGAGCCGCTGCTCCTCCACGTCGAGAGGAGCAGCTGAGGTGGCTCGGGCATCTCCTGGGCGCCTCCCTCCCAGTCTCAGTCCCGGTCTCAGTCCTGGTCATGTTCCCGGTCTCAGTCTCGGTCTCAGTCCCAGTCTCAAATCACGGCCTGGTCCTGGTCTGGTCCCAGCCTCAGTCCTGGTCTGGTCCTGGTCTCAGGCCCGGTCTCAGTCCTGGTCCTGGTCCCGGACTCAGTCTTGGTCTGGTCCTGGTCTAAATCCTGGTCTCAGTCCCGGTCTGGTTCTGGTCTGGTTGGACCTGGTTCAGTCCTGGTTCAGTTCAGCATTGCAGTTTAAGTCACAGAAACGTTATCCGTTTTTTCGTTTTGGTTTTGGAGACAAATAATGAAGAAAACAGTTATTTTTTAGTTTTCTTATTTTTATTTTATTTTGAAAAACAAATGAACGAATGACACACGGATTGTGACGTTCCACCTCCAGAAAGTTACACAGTGTTGCTTTGTTCAGAAATTGTATTCATGAATATGGTTTAACATGGACGTTAGTTAAAGCACGACAAAAACGTCAAATCAACAAAGTCAGCAAAAAAAAAAAGCCAACAACAAAAGTAGAATCTTACAGTCACAAAATGGCCGCTGGATACCTTTTACTATACGTTACCATGGCGATGAATCCTCTAGTTTTTCCATACCTCACTGGTCTTTGTCTTCCAGTTTTGTGGCTTGTTAGAAGGATATACCGTGTGAATATTGTAATCGGTCTATAAAAACAAACGCGACTCCTCTTTCAAAAGTCTTAAACTGTCTGTTACTGGTAGCACAAGAAAGTACAACACATGTTACAAACGGTTCCGCAGACAAAACGGTGAAAAATTGTGAAAAATTGTTGAAATTGGAAGCTCGATGTTTTTCTGTTACCACCTGCTTTGTACTGTCCTGACTGTTTGTGTAACGCCCAGAATGTACGGAAATTTAATATATTTTTAAATAAATATTTATGCTCTGGATTTGCAGTGGAGTCCCGCTCGTGATTTCGGTCTGATTTGGGATTTTTTGTTATTTTGATTTTATTTTTTCGACGCCGCAGAAGGACGAGATGCGGGTCTGTCAGTAACCATGGAGACGACATGTGTGTGATATGAGGAGGTGTCGGCGCGTATTTGTCAGATTTAGAAACCGAGAATTTGAAGAGAAAGAAGGAAAAATGAAAAATGAATGGTATTCTGTGTTTATATAAGAATGACATTTGAAAAACTTTTGGGATCAGAATCATACTGAAGTAAAATATTCAGAAATTTCACCAAAATACGAAAATACACACATGGCAGGTCCTGGTGATTCTCTAATTTTGACTAATTTGCCCAGATAATACCTGCTGTAAATATACATTATACTTTTACACCAATCAAGAAACAATTTGTGAAGAAATTTGGAAATAAAAACGTGTTTAAAATGACAAATAAAACACATTGATGACGTCACACTGGGAAAAAATCTTTCCAAAAGTTTGTCACATTCTACACTCAAGAAACACCGACATTTTAAACATTATTTCAACAAAAAATAAAGGTGTTTTCTTGTATTTTTATTTGTTAAATTATGATTTCTGTGTACATTAGAAGAGTCTTGCCCCGGTGAAGAAGATGGTCATCAGAAAGTAAAATTTGAAACCTATAAAATTGCCAAATTGGGGAAAAAAATGTTTTTAAAATTTAAAATCTAATGAGCTTAAATCAGTGATAAAGTCATAGGTACTTTAATGTGTTGCAGTACGGCATTAAACGTGTCTATCTCCACGGAAACAAGCTGCCAGGTGAGAATCCCAGACTAAGTGAAGTTATGGGTGAGATCTGTGGAGCGGCAAACCTGCTCACAGTCAAAAAAGTGACATTTCTAAACAATTAAATGAAACAGAAAGCACACCAAAGTTCTTGTAGAGGCGCAAATGCAAGGAACAGCAACTTAAAAGTGAGAAAAATGCACAGCACACTCAGACGCCCGATGTCCCAAAGCTGTTTTTTTATTTTTAAATAACGTTTCAGCAAAAAGCCTTCGTCAGATCTTTTTTTTTTTGCTTTGGACCGCAGTTTACAAAATGGTTGCCTGCCCAGGTGCTCATACAACAAGAAAAGATATTTACATAAAAACATTCTCATCAAATACAAAAAATTGTTTGAAAACATCACAAAAAACATCTTAGGTCAAAGTCAACATTAAGTCTGTGAAGGGCGTATATCTACCCCCAGGTCTTGTCTTGTTTTGTTCTTACCATTTGAATGTCTATTTTTTTATGTGTGTCTTTATACAAGATGAAAATCCAATAAAAAGTGAATGACAAAAAAAAAAAAAAAAGGTCTGTGAAGGGCAAGAGTCTTAAGTTAGTGAATCCAGAAGTGTTCTCTTTTTGACAGGAGCATTTCCAGATTCTGACCTCTAGGGGGCACTTTTGTGTTCAGTGCCAATACATTTTAAGGAAGTAGTAGGATGGTTGAAATCTATAAAATGAGCTACCACTGTTGATAGTTCATGTTTTTACATATGATTGTGCTCCTCTGCTCTGCAATATGTGTTTTTAAAGCCCCGCTTGTTTTACCCATAGAGGTTTTACCACAGAGGCAGCTGATAAAAACATTTGAAATTGAATAAACGTAAAAAAGATGCATAATGCTCTACTGGGGAACATCTATCCATCCATTTTCTTCCACTTATCCGGGGCCGGGTCGCAGGGGGGTCTAAGCAAGGACTCCCAGACTTCCTTCACTCCAGACACTTCCTCCACCTCCTCCTCCAGGCAGACCCAAGGCGTTCCCAGGCCAGCCCAGAGACATAGTCCCTCCAGCGTGTCCTGGGTCTTCCCCCGGGGACCTCCTCCTGGTTGGACATGCCCAGAATACCACCTAAAGGAGGCATATGGAACAGATGCCCGAGCCACCTCAACTGCTCCTTTCGACGTGGAGGAGCAGCGGCTCTACTCCGAGCTCCTCCCGCTGTGACTGAGCTCCTCACCCTATCTCTAAGGGAGCGCACAGACACCCTGCGGAGGAAACTAATTTCAGCCACTTGTATCTGTGATCTCGTCCTTGCGATCACTACCCAGAGCTCATGACCAGACGTGAGGGGAGGAACGTAGATTGTCGGTAAATCGAGAGCTTTGTCTTTCAGCTCAGCTCCCTCTTCACCACAACGGTCCGATACAGCGACTACTAGAGAACAGTGTTTACATCCAACTGGTGACAGGCCCCTACCACAAAAAGACACATAGTGCATCTTTAACAAAGCTATTATCAAGAGCAGAGTTTGAGCTGCAATATACAGGAACTAACTGGAGGGACACAGTCATGTGACCAATTCACTCACTCAAAGGATGTAAGTTTGATCCCTGATTTTGGATGCAGCCAGTGTTCTTGAGCAAAACACTCCACATACTGCTCGGTTATCATTGGTATTTGCTCGGATTAATAGGAACGTCTGGTCACCTTAACTTTAAATCATAAGAAAAGATATTTCTTTCCCACAGTTTGGCCTACTGTTCATGAGTAATTTTTTGGTCCACTGCATTGTACTTGAATAATATAATTTGAAGTAACGTTATTCTTGAATAAATTTTTTAGCTACTTTACTCTGATAGTTTTACAGCAATACAGCATTAGGTAGTGAGTGTAATTTAATAATAACAATGCTTGATAATAATAACAAAAAATATGAATAACAAAATAATTAACAATAACAAAATATGAATGAATAACAATAATTAAATAATCATTAATAATAATAACGCCTGATAATAATAACAAAAATATGAATAATAACAATGACAATAACAAAATAATTAACAATGACAAAATATGAATGAATAACAATAACTAAATAATAATAATAATTAATAATAACAACGCTTGATAATAATAACAAAAATATAAATAATAACAATGACAATAACAAAAATAATTAACAATGACAAAACTATGAATGAATAACAATAACTAAATAATAATTAATAATAACAACGCTTGATAATAATATAAAAATATGAATAATAACAATGACAATAACAAAATATTAATGAATAACAATAACTAAATAATAATTATAATAATTATTAATAATAACAACGCTTGAGGGCGACAAAGGAAGTCCAACTGCAAAACCCAAAACGGTCCGAACGAACCGGCCGGCGCGTGTTTCTCTCCGGACCTGTTTGATCGCTGCACAAAGTCACAAAGTGTTCCGCCAAAATCTTCTTCAAAAATCTCCAAAATTACAGGTAAATTGACCGATTATTAAACAGTTCTTGATCCGTGCCGAAAGTCAACAGCGGCTCCACGCGTCCCTGAGGCGCAGACGTAGATGGGACGTACGCGTGCGCTTGTGGTAGTTGTAGTTCTGTCAATCATGTGCCGCACGGCTAGCTCATTAGCATTAGCCTCACAACTGTCTGAGGCTGAAGAAGCTGCTGACATTTTAAATAATATTAATCCCTCAAAAGATTTTTAACTATTTTAACTATTAAACTATATATATTCTTCATTATAATGTGTTTTGAAGTCCAAAGAGTGATAAAAAATAACTTGTACGCTGTAATTCAATATGTAAGCCAAAAGTGTGACCAGTATTCTTGTTGTTTTCATATTTATTTATATATTTTTTGTATTTAAAAACGTATTTTTTCATCACATGTCACCACTTGGTCAGATGTAAAGCTTGTGGATCTTTATTATTTTGCATAGGTTAACTGACAGAACAACAGAACACTGAACTTGTTATTTGATAATTTCATACTTCTTAATTTTTCTTTTCATTCATATTGTCTTATAAATCACTATTATTATTGATCAGCTTTATTAAATTTGTGAATGATAATATGACATAAGCAGATTAAAGAAGAGAACTAAAAAGAGAAAGAAAAGAACTGTGCCAAAAAAGATATAAAATTAAATGTATTTAATAAGAAAGTAGTTGACTTTTATAACTTAAACCTTTTCAAACATTGAGATTACATGTAAAGCCATCTGTTTTTTATTTATTTTTATTTTCATTGTCTAAATATTTACATTTATTTAAGATTGAATATAGAATAGGGCAGGGGTGTCAAACTCAAATTCACAGAGGCTAAAATTAAAGTTGTGGGACTAAACATTTACTGAAATATTTCAACAACATCTGCATGTTTTCTCTTCGAGATATATACTGTTAAACCTTTTCTTATTAAAATAAATGTTTAATAATAGTTTTTGCTTGAACGCTGACTCCAGAACAAGCAAAATATAAAATTATAACAAAGTTTTGAATAAATAATGTCTCTATAGTCTATCTGTAGCTGGCGGACCAGCTCTAATACATATTTGATATGATCTCGCGGGTCAAATATAATTATATGGCCCCCGGGCCTGAGTTTGACATGTCTGGCATAGGGTGACCAGACGTCTCTATTTACAGTCCCTTGTCCCAGCAGAAAAAATATCCCAGGTGTCTCTATTTTTGACAAAATTCATACTTGACTTGACAACAGTCAAAAGAGGCATAAATTGTCATTTGTTTAAGTAAAATACTGAAAAACTGCTTAAAAATAACCAAAACACAAGGAAAATGTGACTATGCTGACTCACGTGTTACACATAAATGGGCCAAGTGCGGAACAATTTTCCTTAATTACTCACTCGATTCGCAATTTTATTATTACCAACCACCACAAACCAGAAGTGTCCCAGTTTTTGATTGTACAAATCCGGTCACTCTTAATATAGCAGAGAACAGTCTGAACAGTATTATGAAATAATTGACATTTAAAAATGTACTATAAATAATATGAACGTTCATTTCTTTGTGGCAGAACAGGCACCAATTTCTCAGAATGTCCCAATATTATTTTCCAGTTCATATAAATGTGACTAGGTGTGTGCAAAAATATTGAAATATTGATATATCGTATTGTTTAATGTGATGATACAGTATCGATATTGTGGGCTGCTGTATCGATATATCACCAAGAGTATTTTTAGATAAATTTAACAAAATTATTTTCTTACAGAGCTACAGTTTTGTTGCTTGTTCAGAGAAAGGAAACTCATTTATGCGACACATTTGCCATTTTCACTGTTTTGATGATTAAAATGTTTGTGTTTCATATGAACTTTGCACAAGAAGTGGTTTAACAAAGACTTTTAGTATCACAGCCATGATTTAGGCTTTAATTTTTTATTGAACCATATCAAATCAACTTAAAATACATCATATCGAACTGAAAGTCCACTGTATTGAGGTATGTATCGTATCAGCAGCTTCTTAGTGATACCCAGCCCTAATTATGACCTGAATAATCCAGATTGTGCATTCACCAAACCCCCTTGTCTCCTGCTCAGCTGTGGAGGCCATGCCCAAACTGCAGGGCTTCGAGTTCTGGAGTAAGACGCTGAAGGAGGCGCGCTTCGTGGTGGCTCCCATGGTGGACCAGAGCGAGCTGGCCTGGCGTCTGCTGAGCCGGAGGCACGGGGCACAGCTCTGCTACACGCCCATGTTCCACGCCCAGGTGTTTGTGCGCGACGCCAACTACAGGAGGGAGAACCTGTACAACGAAGTGTGCACGGAGGACCGGCCCCTCATCACACAGGTCAGAGGAACAGAGGGGTGGGCAAAATGGATAGAAATGAAATATGTTTAAAACTTTTACTGATAACAAGGCCTGTTCATATACTAAGAATGAGAAAAAACACTTATCTTCTATCTGCAGGTTTAGACCCCTGATTGTAGTTACTCTTTTAAACATCTCATATTTTCAGTGGTATTCTTGACTGTTATTGTGTGCTGCAGTTCTGTGCCAACGACCCGGAGGTGTTTGTCCAGGCGGCTCTGCTGGCTCAGGACTACTGCGACGCCATCGACCTCAACCTGGGCTGTCCTCAGATGATCGCCAAGAGAGGTACCACCATCTGCATGCGCCTAGTACTGTGCGCTCTGTGGTAGAATACTGTAAAGAACATCAGGTCACCTCTCTCTCTTGTGTCTCATGGGGTGCTGTTCAAACCTCATCTGAACTTTTACCACCAATAACTTTTGCAAACTGAGGTATTTTTATTTAGACCACATCATTAGCCTTATAGGATAATTGCCTAAGTCACGTTTACAGGTTTTCAGTCAATGATATCTACACATGCAGCAGAGTCCAGACAGCAGAACCTCACCTGAGAGTGCGAGAGGGAGCGTAAAGGTGAACAGGTCATCGAGGCAGGAGGGCGCAAAGCCATAAAAACATCCATCCATCCATGTTCTTCCGCTTATCCGGGGTCGGGTCACGGGAGCAGCAGTCTAAGCAGGGACTCCCAGATTTCCTTCACCCCAGACACGTCTTCCAGCTCCTCCGGGTGGACCCTGAGGCGTTCCCAAGCCAGCCGAGAGACATAGTCCCTCCAGCGTGTCCTGGGTCTTCCTCGAGGCCTCCTCCCGGTGGGACATGCCCGGAACACCTCCCAAGGGAGGCGTCCAGGAGGCATCCGGAGCAGATGCCTGAGCCACCTCAACTGGCTCCTCTCGACGTGTAGGAGCAGCGGCTCTACTCCGAGCTCCACCCGTGTGACTGAGCTCCTCACCCTATCTCTAAGGGAGCGCCCAGACACCCTGCGGAGGAAACTCATTTCGAGCGCTTGAATCTGCGATCTCATCCATTCGATCATTACCCAGAGCTCATGACCAGAGGTGAGAGTAGGAACAAAGACTGACCGGTAAATCGAGATCTTCACCTTTGGGCTCAGCTCCCTCTTCACCACAACGGTCCGATACAGCGACCGCATCACTGCCAACGCTGCACCGATCCACCTGTCAATCTCACACTCCGTCCTCCCCTCACTCGTGAACAAGACCCCGAGATACTTGAACTCCTCCACTTGAGGCAGGGACTCTCCACCCACCCGGAGAGGACAAGACGCCTTTTTCCGGTCGAGAACCATGGCCTCGGATTTAGAAGAACCCGCCATAAAAACACTTAAAAGTAAATAAAACAATTTTAAAACTGATTCTAAAACACACTGGAAGCCGATGGAGAGAGGCTAAAATAGGTGAGACTCTTGTGTTTCCGGGTTCCAGTTAAAAGTCAAGTCGAGTTTTGGACCCACATCAAATGGCAAAGTGAATCTCTTAGCAAAATATTCAGAATTATTCCTGAATCAAATGCCATGACCAAGCTATTCTGTAACAAATGTACATGATTTGGTTCGTAAACAAGTTTTGAGTTAAAACATAATGCTGCTTAACTGCTTTCACCACCTGTGCACTGTAAAAATGCTCTTTGATTTTTATATTTTTATTCCATTACAGGTCACTATGGAGTTTTCCTGCAGGATGAGTGGGAGCTGCTGGAGAAAATGGGTGAGTAGAAACATAAAATAAACTTTATGAACATTTGTCAAAGCTCATATGAACTTACTCTTTGTGGTCTCCAGTGAAGTTGGCCCACGAGAAGCTGTCTGTGCCCGTCACGTGTAAGATCCGAGTGTTCGAGGACATGGAGAAGACGGTCCGGTACGCGCAGATGCTGGAGAAGGCCGGATGTCAGGTATTCCGCTGCTTCGATGTCACAGCAACCAACTTGGACTTTTCTGACTTAAATTAGACAAAATCACCTTGGAAAAAACATTCTTATTGTGATTGGGACATCCTTTCTCCATAGATCTGACCCGTAACTTGGCCTAGTGGCGTCACTTGTTTGTCACCGTAGTTAAATGCCTTACTGTGGAACATTTTAGGAAAGCAATAACAATCCTGTATAGAATTAATTCATGAAAAACTTCCTGGATGTCTCAGAATTTGATAATGAATATTGCTGAGACAAACGGGGGGTGGACTTTTTACTCAGAGCTTTTTACTTTTCAACATAAAGTAAAAATACATGTTGAGTGTTTCTGTCATGTGTAATGTTCGTGTGTCGTTGTTTCAGCTGCTGACGGTGCACGGCAGAACCAAAGACCAGAAAGGAGCTCACACGGGGATCGCCAGCTGGGAGCACATCAAGGCCGTGCGGTGAGACACGTTTACATGCTCATGTTTACAACGAGGTATAAAAGTACTTCATTAATGCAGTGGTCTCATTTATGTTATATACTTTTTTGAGGTAAACACAAAATGTACGCTTTAAAAAAGTCTGGTGCCCCAAATTTAAGTACCATATTTTCCGGGCTATAGCGCGCGCTTTTAAGCCCCACAATCCAGAGCGCCCCATACACGAATCCACTCAGGTGTCCCAGTACGACTTCAGTAAACTACAAAGCCGCACCACCCGCAGAACACGCAAACACACACGGAGCAGACAGCGACCGCACAGCGAAAAACACCCACAGACACACTCATCACTCCACGCCGACGAGGAACGGAACGGAGGAACGAACCGAAAAAGCGAGCGCAACGGGCCACTTCTAGACACGACTGAACAACTGAGTCACTGCGAACACGCCGACAATCCAGCGGTCCCAGACAGCACCCTCCCTACACGCCACAACTGAACAAAGCCCAGAGTCACCGTGGACGCCACAAACAAAGTCCCACTGACCCATCACACTGTTGTGTTTCGTTTAAAGTCCGGTGCGGTTTATTTGTGAAAAAAGTTAAAAAATAGACCATTTAATGACAGTGCGCCTTATAATCCAGAGCGCCTAATAGCCCGGGAAATACAGTACCATAATTTCCGGACTATTGAGCGCACCTTAATATATGCCGCTTCAACTACATTTTAAAAGAAAAACATGTGTACCATATTTTTCGGACTATAAGTCGCTCCGGAGTATAAGCCGCACCAGCCAAATAATGTGTAATCAAGAAGAAAAAAAACATACACTCTTTGGGAGAAACTTGTCAATGAAGTCCAGGCTTTGTCGATCCATGCAGTGACTTCCAGGAAAATTGCATGGTGCACCCTCCCGGTGTCACAAGTTTCTCACTCACTCCAGACTTTCTTTCGTCTGCTTGATTACTGTTTCCGGCTGAATATTTCACGACTTGCAGCAGGACAGCGTTTTTTTTTGCAGGAGACATGCGCAGTAGGGCATGAAGTGGCGGTGGTACAGGAGGAACAGGAGCAGCCTATACTGACACACAAGCTTTGAACGCCCTCTCGCGGTTGTCAGTGTGAAAATTTTAATATACAAGCCGCACTGGAGTATAAGTCGCAGGAAACACCCAAACCATGAAAAAAGTGCAACTTATAGTCTGAAAAATATGGTACATACTGTGTAAAGCCACAGGTGTCCATGTTGTAACTGGAGATATTTACACAGAAAGATTTTTCATTAGAATTTTTAATTAAATACCAGTGCATCCTTTTTCTGAGCAGTGCCTGTAACACGGCAGTAAAATCAACTGCATTACGACAGAATTATCAGACTACGGCACTTGACGCTCTACTGCGCATGTCTCCTGCAAAAAGAGTCGCTGTCCTAGGAGTCTGTATCATGTCAGTGTCTCGTAGGATTTCAGCAGATTTCAGACTCTCAGGGGGCGGGGATAGGTGTTTCAATCAGGTATGAGTGGATGTCCAGCTACTGAAGTTTGAGACGTTTCTTCTCGTCTTTTACGCACTCACCTGCATTTAACACATACACACATTGAGGCGTATCCCACTCACAAATTTTTGTTGAGCATCATAACTCATTTTATCACACGGTAACTGCACAGACAGCGGCGCTTTCTGCACTCAGGCTGCGCACGTATCCACTCTGTTGATAAACAAATAACCTGTCCATATATTTCGCTGAATCGTTGTTTAAGCCGCAGGGTTCAAAGTCCAGAAATGACGGTTCTAGTTCCAGTCGTAATTTCCTAAACACCAGGTGTGTCTCTGTTACAGGCAGGCCGTGAAGATCCCAGTGTTTGCCAACGGGAACATCCAGCACATGAGCGACGTGGAGCGCTGCATCCAGGAGACGGGGGTACAGGGGGTCATGAGCGCAGGTGCGGCCCTGTCACTTCACCTGTCCCTTCTGCAGGGCTGGAGCGGCAGGATTCTCATATGTACTTGTGTTTTTGTCCGTCAGAGGGGAACCTGCACAACCCGGCGCTGTTCGAGGGCCGCAGTCCCCCCGTGTGGGAGATGGCGGAGGAGTACCTGCAGGTGGTCAGGGAGCACCCGCCCTGCACCCTGTCCTTCATCAGAGCACACCTCTTCAAGCTCTGGCACCACACGTATGTACCACGCTTCTATACTAATGCACTTTTACTGTATTAGAGTGTAGCTGATGGGTGTTTTCTATGTGTGTGTTATGTTGTTCTGTTTACTAAAGACAATAAGAGAGCTTTGAGACATTTACACACATCCAGGTTCGAAAACAAATCAAATCTATGCTCTAAATCAGCTCTCCAATCTTATTTTGGCACAGCACATTACTTACTTACTTTAGCCTGTAGACATTGAGTTTAGTTTGGGTTTAAAATAATGTTCATATGATTATAACCCATGAATTTTACACCGATGTGCTTTGTCTTGTTCCACACTTTGGGATGTGTGATGCGTTTGGTGTGTGTGTGTGTGTGTGTGTGTTTGTGTGTGTGCGCAGGCTTCAGATCCACCAGGACCTGAGGGAGGAGCTGGCCAAAGTGAAAACTGTGGAGGGACTGTCTGAAGTCAGTCACCAGCTCAAACTCAGGTGTCAGGTGAGACTCAGGGCCTGTTTACAGGAAAACGCTTGCGGGTAAAAATTACAAATTATTGTCTCGGAAGTGCCTTTCATTTAGACGGTGACGACGTTTTTGGAGCTTAAAAATGCAAAAATCTGAAACCAGTTTCCAGAGTGGAAAAGCTGAATACACTCCGGCATAGCGTTTCCGTCTACGCAGCCCAAGACGTAAAACTCTGGTCAGATCTACTCACGTCACGTACACGTTTATCTCACATACATACAGTATTTACCCTGCGTTTGAATATCCTTTCCAAATTAGTTTTAGACTTGTGACACTTGTGATGTGCCCCTTTTCCTGGGACGGCGCGACTTGGACTGCGGTGGTGGAAATAGTCGACCGAGCAAGGATTCCGAGTTAGAAGCCAAGATGGCTCTGCCCACTGTGACGTATAAATATGAAGTGTTTTCATTGGCCCAATGAGATTCATTTGGTCTTCCGATATTCTATGTTATTAGGTTCTTAGGTTTTTCAGACCTAGAGTGTTATTTCATACCTGACAGTTTCGACTGCTCACTAGCGTCTTCCTCAGAGTCACGTGATGTTGCTGTGACGTGTCTGGTCTGTTTAACCTGTTTAAATCAGCTGATCAGACACGTCACAGCAACATCACGTGACTCTGAGGAAGACGCTAGTGAGCAGTCGAAACTGTCAGGTATGAAATAACACTCTAGGTCTGAAAAAAAAAGAACCTAATAACATAAGTGTTTTCATTATATTTAGACACTTTGGAGGTTTAAATGATAATTTCAGTCACTCTTATTACTGCAGTACTTTACCTCACCTATATCACTGCCTATGAGTTTGATAGTCGGTGTTGTGGTGAGGCTACATGCTGCTCACTTCAAGCTCGGACGTGACATCAAATCCGAGGTCCAAGTGGGCGTTGGAAGATAATCGAACACAGGGACAGAAACAAACATGTTGGATGGCATGCATACCCATTGAAATCCAAAAACTTTTACATCACCGTATGCACGCAGACTTCTTCTCGAAAAACGCTCGTCTAAATGCGGAATGAAAAGTGAAGACGCGATGCCACTTTTGCATCTTCTGTTCAGATCATCATCAGATAAACTTAGACTCAGATCAGGGTGATATCAGCTCTGTCCTCTGTTGTGGAGCTTTGTCCAATCAGCTTTAATGATTCATCTACACGTACTGCCTTTTAGTCTGTCTTATATCTGCCTTATAGAGTTTGTACATTGTATTTGTATGTTACCTGCCTGAGGACTATGCATTCGAGTGAGGTTTGTGGCTCTGATCCAGCAGATGACACAGACACAGATGGTTACAGAAGCTCATAATGTGCTGTCTCTGCTTGTGTTTTCCCTGCTGGCTTAAACCCTTCGTCCCCATTCGTCACTGTAGTCTTCACCGTCTAACTTGCTGTGACAGGAAGGGCTTGTGTGTTGATGTGACTGCTGCTGTGTCCTCAGGAGGAGATCTCGCGCTGCGCCGGGGCAGAGGAGAAGGACAGCGGTCTGCCTTTCCCGCACTGGATCTGTCAGCCCTACGTCCGGCCACCGTGAGTCTACCGTCTCTTTAAATCAGTCCTTCTCATAGCAGGGGGTGGTGCGATGCCAGGGGGCGCATGTGACCTCAGGGAACATGTTTTTTTTACCGTACTAGAATAAAGTGTAATTGCACATCCACTACACAGGGTTCCCACGGTCATGGAAATTCTGGAAAAGTCATGTAGATTGAAAACTATTATGATTATTTCCGAACGTATCCGCCTTTTGTTTAAAAGCCCCTAACCCTAAAAAACTATAATCCCAAACCATAAGGTGAGTGGAAAGGGTTAACATTTTATATTTTGCCCTAAAAGTCTGATCAATTCTACACATGTAGGTGCTGTAAAGTCGTGGAAAATTCACTTTAGGTCATGAAAAACTCATGGAAAAATTTGGAAATTTTGTCAGTGAAAAAAAGTCAGAACCTTGACAAAAGAGGCTTTGCACCATCACGTGTCCCCCATGGCTACGCCGCCATGACACCGGGCACACTATGTCATTGACTTCAGCAGCATCGGAGAAACATGGGCAGGTTTTGTTGTGTATTTGGTTGTTCTACATGCTCTGAACGGGATAAAACGATTCGTTTCTTCACTGTTCCTCTGGAAATGACTCATCATGGAGCTCAAACAAGGAAATTATCGAAAAAAAGGCGGGAATTATGTCTCGAGAACATAAACCGCGAAGAGATTTCCTATGGTACCATCAAGACACACTCATGCCACTTTCATCAAGGTATTTGCTATTTAAATTGTTTCATAGTTTATTTAATGAGAGAAGCACATTTACTGAACTAAAATTTAAAAAGAAAACATTTGCAGTGTGAGTGGCAGTAGAAACTGTATCTTCCAGCGCACATATAAACATGTCACTCGTCGTAGGACCCATGTTTTCTTTATTGTCTTGTTTATCCACAACTATGTCTTCTAGAATTAATCGCTTTTTGTGAGCGGATCTTTCTAATGTTCGCGAGGATCTTTTCATGGCCGATTCTTTCGAGGTTCGGCTCACAGACTCTTCGACTCGTGCCCCATGTTGATCATAGCGTTCGTTGAATCGTAAACTAGTGTGGGTTTTCCTGGATAAATTAATGAAATTTTAGTTCAGTAAATGTGCTTCTTTCATTAAATAAGCTATGAAACAATTTAAATAGCAAATACCTTGATGAAACTTCGGGTGTCTTGATGGTACCATTGGAAATCTCTTTGCGGTTTATGTTCTTTAGCCATAATCTTTTTTCGATAATTCCCTTGTTTGAGCTCCTGATGAGTAATTTTCAGAGGAACAGTGAAGAAACGAATCGTTTTATCCCTTTCAGAGCGTCTAGAACAACCAAATACAAAACAAAACCTGCCCATGTTTCTCCAATGCCTACTGAAGTCAAGGGCATAGCGTGCCCGGTGTCATGGGGGACACGTGACGGTGCAAAGCCTCTATAGTTGACAATATAGTGTCAGGTTTTTTGCACCAAGTACACGCACAAACAACACAGAGAAGGAGATATGAAGTGCAGTGAACAAACCCTCAAGAGACTCCATGGAAAAATATTTAACAGGGATGTAAAGAAAGGTGGAGAAAGACAGCGATAATGAAACAAACGTCAGTCTTCCGAAAGGTAAGATGAGGAGAAATGACGAAGCAAATATAGCACTCGGCTTCAGTTTGACTACGGTGGGAAACTGAACGACCGATGTGACTAAAAATGTCACTTAAAGACATTACACCCCAATCACGCTGATAAACCGCTTGAGTTTTCTCAGCAAAAACGTGCCGAATATTGCCAAGACTCATCCCACTTTGTGAATACAAATGAAACTATTTATAGACACGACAGAGAGTGGAGGGGTGCAAAATGTTTTCTTCTTCTTATGGGGGGCGTGGAATTTAGAAGCTCCGGTTTAAAATTATCATCTCACGTGTCCAAAGCTCACACCCAGTCTCTCAAACTCCCCTCCCCCAGGCCCAAGGACCCGGTTGTGAACGGAGACAGCCAGCCCTCGGAGGTGAAAAAGCCCGTCGGCAAAAAGAGGGCGCTGGAGGACGACCCGAACTCCAACCCTGACGGACTGTCCAAGAACAAGCAGAAGAAGCGGTCCAGGAACCCCCACAAAAACTTCTGCCCCGAACAAAAACGTCAGTGTCACTTTAATGTTACCTCCACGTCTCACGGTTACTGTGTTTGCACTGATGTGTGTCTCTATGTCTCCACAGCAAAGTACGTCAAGTGTGAGCAGTGTGGAAACCCAAAGGTGTGAATGACAGACATGGATGTGTGTAATTTTTAAGCTGAAATATCTGTATAATAATCTTTTCTTTGTGCAGGGAAACAAATGTGTGTTCAACCTGTGTCGCGGCTGCTGTAAGAAGAAAGCCTTTAAAGAAGTGGCAGACTGTCCGAGTGAGTTACTCCAAAGTCTGTGTTAAATTTAAGAGAAAACTGTTGAGAGAGAGTCTGTGCCCCTAAAAACACTGATTTTAGTCAATTTAATCCTAAAAGCTCTCAGCTCTCACCTTCTACATAGGGCTGCTCGATTATAGAAAAAAACATCCATCCATTTTCTTTTGCTTATCTGGGGCCGGGTCGCAGGGGCAGCAGTCTAAGCAGGGATTCCCAGACTTCCTTCATCCCAGACACTTCCTCCAGCTCCTCCAGGGGGACCCCAAGACGTTCCCAGGCCAGCCCAGAGACATTGTTCCCTCTAGCTTGTCCTGGGTCTTCCCGGGGCCTCCTCCCAGTGGGACATTTGCCCGGAACACTTCTGAGTGGCTGGCACCTTAGGAGACACCAGAACAGATGCCCAAGCCTCAACTGTTACTCTCAACGTGAAAGGAAAGCAACGGTTCAACCCGAGCATTTCCATCCCGTGTGACTGAGCTCCATGGAAACACCTACATCTCTAAGGGACGCGTCACTCTACGCTACACACTGTGGAGCAAACCTACATTCAGTTGCTTGTAAAAATGAACGTAATCGACGAAATTCTTAATGATCAATTAATCGACTAATCATGCCCATCCCTAACCGTAGGTGAGGGGAGGAACGTAGATAAATCGAGAGCTTTGCCTTTCACCACAACGGTTCGACACAGCGACCGCATCACTGCTCCATCCTCCCCTCACTCGTGATCAAGACCCAGAGACATTTAAAGTCCTACACTTGAGGCAGGGACTCTCCACCCATCGCAATCAAAATTCCATTAACTACACAGCCTTACTTCTACACAAAACACTACGTTTAGCCCTTTAACTAAAAAAGTGTGGACACCAGGTTTACAAGCAGAGAAGAGACAATTCCCGAGATAAAAAATAGTTTTGAAAGTGGTGAAAAATATCTGTACAGCTCCAAATGTTCACTGTGTTCATCATTACATTCTACCATTCTCATCTCTGTAATTTTCCCTGTAACTCCAGAATAACTGTGGTATCATTTTGTGTTCAGGTCACGGGCTGAAGTTCAAGACCAAAGCAGATAAACGCAAACAGGAGGAGGAGGAGGAAGAAGAGGAGGAGAAGAAGGACGAGGAAGGAGACGAGGAGAGGAGCCAGAGGAGGACAGAACAGGAGAGGAATACAGCGCCTCCCTCAGTCCAGATCTCACCTCCGCACCTGCTCTCAAACGGACAGACAAACCTATGAACTCTGCACTGCAACAAAAAAATAATCTACAGGGGTTAAAATGACCATTGGTACTCATTCATTCATCTGAAAAAGTTGTCCACATCCTGCTTTAGATCATTCTGAACCAAGAGTCTTAATCATCATAAAACCAGGATTAGATCTGGTTAACACTAAATCCAGGCTCAGATTCTTCATGGTCCAGCTCCAGATCAGACGGCGTAAGTTTTCAGAATCATTCAGAGTTTTAATAAGAGCTCAGACTCCTTTACCTTGGGAGTCTGAAGTGAGCGCGGCCTTTTTTCTTAATAAAAGAATCGTTCCGGTGTGAACTCGTGGTCTCTGTGCAGATTCCCAACACTGGAGTCACAGCTGGACCGAGCGAGTCTGAGCGAAAGAAAAAAATAAAAGAGGAGTCGGACAGATCTTAACTGTGTCTAAAACAGCACTTAAACAAGTCTTAAAAGCAAAGGTGTGAAGACTCCGGTCCCACCTGAATAAGTCCAGGTAGCATCAGTCACACCGGCTCTGTAAAATCATTCAGTTCATTGGTTTTGATTTGAAAACTTTTTATTTTACGAAACAATTTTTGAACAAAGCAAGCACTTCTGCCTGAAACAGTCTTAAACACAGTCTCATTTCGCAGGCCAGTAATTTTGGCAATTCTTGATGAAATAACCTCAAATGTTCACAGAATGTCTAGAAACAGATCAGTATTATATATTTAAAGTTTTATTTTTGTTCTGTTTTCAGGTTGAGTCCCAAAGAAAAGTCATTTTGTGTCTTGGAATCTGCTGCACACACTCACCCACTTCGTTTCACTTCGTACAAACCGTCTGACCTCACAGCCTTAGATTTCGACGGTAGGCGGGTACTTTTTATCTTTTAACCAATCGCTGCTATTTGGTCGTGATAGATGTAATGCGCCACTAATAGGGATGGGCATTCGATGATGATTACCGATTGATTTTCGATTAATCATTAACGTTTTTATATAATAAGTATCATCATTATTATTACTATTAATAATCTGCTTAAATAAACTCAACTTTACAACATATAAACCTAAACACTCTAGAGCCACATCAGCCCGTTTGACATTATAATGTGTTAAATGCAGCTTTGCGCAAGTCTCACAGAAACAAAACTTAAAACCACATGGCTAATTTGCATAAACTAAGTGAAGAAAAAAAACGCTCTTGTGCGCTGTTGCAATTCAGCTTCTGTCGGACTAAAGGACACGACTCAGTGGAATATGAGTGTTCTTTCTGTGACAGAGGGGTGTTCTGCTGATGGTGAGTCTGTTCTGTGTGTCGCGATGTTTTCAAAGATCGTACGTGTGCAGGTTCAGCGCAGCTCCTTATGTTGCAGTAACCAGGATAGTGTGTTTACATGCACCATGATGAAACCGGGATACACATGTGCATGTAAACGAACTCACTGAGAGGTACAGTGTCTCCAAGGAGGTGCCAGAGCCTCGTCTCTACGCCCAAAAACCTACATTCGGTTTGTCAATTAGAAATGAACGTACCCGACGAAATTCTTAATGATCAGTTCTTGAGTAGTCGACTAATCATGCCCATCCCTAACTGGTATATTAAGCTTTTCCCAAATCCCGAAGGAAGAAGGGCAATAACGTCTTTCCCCTTGATAAAATTCACCAAACATTCTCTTTATTCCGGCTTTAAATCCTCGATCTCGGGAATCGTTGACAACACAGAATATATCACTTTTCGCTGATTGGCTGGAGCCCGAACTCACACTTCCAGAGTTTTTGTAAACCGTCTAGTGTATTCTGATTCCTGACCCAGTCGCTGGAGAGAAATGAAATTGAGCGGAGGCACTAGGTGGCGCCAGCCTGGCTAAGACTGTACAGCCTTCAGTGCAAAACGTGGAAAAACTTCACCAGCTGGCAAACAAATGTTAACTTCATACCAAAAATTTAAAGAAGAAGGTGATTATGTAGGGCTAAAGGATCTGGTACGTCAAACCGTCATTCGAGGAATCTGGGTTTCCAAACTTGTTTCTCCTTACCGATTTCTTGGGGCTTCGCAAGAGTTTTCCACAAACTTGCTCGACCTTCTCTTTTGATGTTGATGTTGGTCTACCAGATCCTCTAGCCCTGCATAAACAGCCAAACTCTTTACATTTTTGGTATCAAGTCCAGTTTTATTTGCCAGTTGGTGAAGTTTTTCAAAATTTTGCGTTGAAGCTGCACAGTCTTGGGTGAGTGTGTACGAGCAGATTCCAAGACACAAAATTACTTCTCTTTGGGAGTGAACGGCTCAACCTGAAAACAGAACAAAAATAAAACATTAAATATAAACTCTTGGTCTGTTTCTGTACATTAGGTGAAAATATGAGGTTATTTCAACAAGAATTGCCAAAATTATCGGCCTGCGAAATTATGTCAAATTTTTTTTGGACACCCTGTATTTTTAATCACTTAGAACGGTCCAGTCCTCTTCACAAAACTCTAAATCAGCTAAGGTCCAGCACTTTTAGATTCAGAATTCAAGTCATTTTAACCTGTGTGGATATGACGTCTTTTTCTCAGTGTTCTTCCTGGTCATGTGACAAAACGACTCACCACATCTGCTGCTACACAACTCCTCCAAACCTGTTAGATTTGACGTGGAGTTTTACCACTGCTCGGGATAACTTTTGTGTTTTTATTTTTATTTTTTTATTTGGGAGACCTTTTGTTTTTTGCCAAAGTCAATCAGGAACCTCTTTAAAGTCCTACACATGTACAGTTTATTTATTTTTAGTGGACTATGGCTTTATTTGAAAACGGACTGTGCCTTCTTGTAAAATACTGCCTTTAAAACGGTACACGTGAATTAAAGATGTACTTTTCAACCATGGGATCATAAAAATACAAATCTGATGTCTGTTTTTATTATTTATTTATATTTAGATATGCTCCTACTTACTCAAAACTCCACTGATAACTATGAGTACAATATGTATTCATTTTCAAATGCACAAAATAACAAAATGGTTGCTTAAAGGTTAAAATATTTCAGAAACACCAAAAAAATCGGAATCTATGACAGTGGTGGTCTAATCTAGAACAAGACCTGTGCTAGAAATGCTTTGTCTTTTGAGTATAAAATATTTGGTAACCCATATTAAAGCCACAATATGTAACTTATTAGTCAAAAAATAGATTAATGTCATGGCATTTTTTGTTTTTTTAAATTGTGGTTATGTTTATTTACTGTAAGTGGGATTGCATTTCCACAAACCTGACTCTTATTTAGCTTGAGAGAGGATTTTTCCTGCTTGTTTCCATGGAAATTTAGTTTCTTTGGCTATACTCTTCCACAGTTTGGCCCAAAACCTCCAAAATTCTCCATGAAGAATTTTCCAAAGTATGGTTTTAACGTTCTGTTTTCATGGAATCATGCAGGTGATGTGCCACTGCCAGCACCAGAAAGTTACTTACTGTGCATTTAATTAAAGCTAATAAACTACTAAATTAAGTAGTTACAGTATTAAATTGTTACAAAGCCTGAATCATTATTATATGATATGTTATTTTGGTTACGTTTTCATATTGTGATTTTAGACTTTTCCGTTTAATGCAGCTCTACGCTCAACCACACCCACTTCTGCCATTGGTGTTACTTGTCATATGTTATTTTTTGTGACGTTTTCATATTGTGATTTTAGACTTTTCCGTTTAACGCAGCTCTACGCTCAACCACACCCACTTCTGCTATTGGTCGGCCTCTGTCATGCTGTTAGTGAGTGACAGGTGGATTTAACCAATCACGGTGAAGTGTGATGGACAGACGGACAGCTTTAGTTACTTGATAAAGACATTTACTAGATGTACAGGAAATCACAACCTCACAATGAAATCAAAACTGTGATGTTAGCTATTAGAAACTAGTGATCATTTGATTTTTATTTTTTAACAATAGTAATTAGATCAACAGCCAGCCAGTCAAGTGACACTTAATGGCCTTAAAAAAGTGTGACCGGACGTCGCTATTTACCCGGGACAGTCCCAGTTTTGAGCCCTGTGTCCTCTGTCCCAGCAGATTTATCCAAAACCACTGATTTGTCCCAGTTTTATTCAAGAAATGTCCCAGATGTCACTATTTTTGACAAATTTGATCCCTGCCAACAGTAAAAAGAGGCATACATTGACACTTGTTTAGGTAAAATACAGAAAAGCTGCTTAAAAACGACCAAAACACGAAGAAAATGTGACTAAACTGACTCACATGTTAATAATATTAGTCATGAATGGGCCGAGTGTAAAACAATTTTGCTTAATTACGAACTTGTTTCACAATTTTATTATTACCAATCAATTCAAACTGGGGGATGTCCTAGTTTTTTATTTTGAAAATCTGGTCACTCTACCATTAGAATTATTAGTAATTATTTATTTATAATGTAAAAACACTGCTATGATGCTGTATAAAATATAGACTGGGGAAAAAAACGTGAATTTCATATAAAAATTCTGTAACATCTGCTTTTAGTGCTAGAAAGCTTAGACAAAGAGGAACTATTTTGTGGTTTTCGCTTCAGTGAGATCATCTTTCAGTAAACGCTGTATAATTCTGTATAAATATCTACTGATAAAACCTGTGAATCTCATATTATAATTCTATAACTTCTGCTTTTCTGCTTATAAAAGTGCTAGAAGAACGCTTGTAGACAAAGAGGAACTGTTTTCGCGGCTTTCGTTTCGGTGGGAGTGTCTTTCCGTGAGCACTGTAGTCCATTCACGTGACGCACAGCCCGGAAGTCTGCACGTAAACAAACAAAAAACATCAAACCAAACAGACTCGGGGCAGTGCGATTATCGAACATGATGAACGGGGAGCTGCGGGAGCCTCTTTTTCCTCCACACACGCGGGGTTAGAGCGGTGTGAGAGATGATTTAGACACTTTAATTCCCACGTTTGCGCTCTGTTTTGGTGTTGTTAGTATCGTAGCTTGTGTGTTTTCACTTCTCCTTCTGCCGCATCATGGAGCAAACCAACAGTGTCAACGCGGATCCTGCTCCCACCTCTGACCGTATGCTTTATTTTCTGCTTTTCATCAAGATTTTAGCATGATTAGTTTAATATTTTTAGTACAGAGCTTTGATTGTTTTTGAAATTCTAATGCCGATGAGTTGGTCTATTGTTTTTAGGTTTTTTTTTTCCAGGTTATTTTATTTTATTTTTATTTTTTTCAATATACAATTTCAGAGCAATATTAATTAATGCAGATAGTGTGCAGCTAAAATTAATATTGTTAATATGCTAAATGATGTTATAATTAGGGATGTAATAATAACAGAAATATCGTGATATCGTATCGCCAAAGTTCTCACAATAATAATACCGTGGACAATATCACAATATATCGGATTACAAGTATCTTTGCTTAAATTAGGAGTTATGGGTGCAGCAATAGCTAAAAAAAAAGACAGAGGGAACTACATAGACCATGATCCTTTGCTCCATTTCAGCACAGACTACAAGAAGAAATAACAGTTCGAAGCACTTTTAAATCTTATTTCTTTGGGTTAAGTCTTGTCGAGGCATTTTAAGAGGAAAAAGTAGCATATAAAGAGTTTTGTTGTTTGTTGCCTCCACAAAATATCGCAATAAATATCGTGCCGTGAGATGTACATCATGAAAATGTCGTACAGAGAGATTTGGATATTGTTACATACTTAATCATGAACTTTCTCATGATATCGCAATAAATATCGTACCATGAAGTTCATACCGTGACGATATCGTATCGTGAGACTGGGATATCGTTACACCGCTAGTTATAATATGTTGTAATACAGTGAGTTCTTGGGTTTAGTGAAAATACCAAGATCAACATTTGTGAATTTACCTTTTGAGAAATTTCTTTGCAAAGTACAATGTAATTAATGAACAGGAAAATCTCTGTCTTGCCCCCCGTGTGGGACTATGACATAATCACACTGTATAATCTGAAAACCATGAACAGACCAACGGACCCATTTTTAAACATTAAAACAAATAACAAATGTGTAAGAAAACTTCACAAGAGAGTTGATCAGTAAACCAGCATCTGTTTTTGTTTGGAAAAATACATTTATGGACATTAACTGGAAGGATGTTGGAATTTTGCCTAGAAAATATTTTGTAACTAATTGGGGTGTAACGATATCCAAGTCTCATGATACGATATCGTCACGGTATGAACCTCACGGTACGATATTTATTTCAATATCGTGGGAAAGCTCATGATATATTGGGGAGGCTCACGATTAGGGATGTAACAATATCCAAATCTCTCAGTACGATATTTTCACGATATACATTTCATGATACGATATTTATTGCGATATTTTGTGGAGACTAGCAAAACTGTTAATATGTCACTTTTTCCTCTTTAAATGCCTTGACAAGACTTAATCCAAAGACTTAAAAGTGTTAGAACTGTTATTTCTTCTTGTAGTCTGCACTGAAATGGAGCAAAGGATCATGGTCTATGTAGTTCCCTCTGTATTTCATTTAGCTGTTGCTGCACTATAACTCTTCATTTAAGCAAAGCGACTTGTAATCCGATATATTGTGATGGTCCACGATATTATTATTGAACTCTGACGATACGACATCACGATATTACGGTTACTGTTACATCCCTAATTATAACATAATTTTAGCTGCCCACCATCCGTATTAATTAATATTGGTCTCAAATTGTATATTGCGTTGTATATTTGAAAAAAATAAAAATTAATAAATAAAATAATTGGGGGAAAAAACAAACAAACTTATAGACCAAATTTAATTTGTGATTCGATATATTGTGATGGTCCATAATATTATTGTGAGAACTTTGACGATACGATATCACAATGTTTCTGTTATTGATTCATCGCTGGTAACTAATAAGATGTGTGAAGTATGCCTGAAAATCCTGCATACAGTTTACAGTAGTAGTAGTAGAAGTAGTAGTAATTTTTGTTCAATAATACAATGGTACAAACAATAACACTGCCAGAGGCTCAAGAGGGGCTCTGCATGCAACAACATCTTCATTACGTGTAAATATGAATGGGAATAGAAAAGAAAATACTATGATTTAATGATGAAAATTAGAGTTTAAATTGAGTTTGAAATTGTATGTATGTCATATTATCTAAATTTTACACAGCATTCACTTATTCTGCCTCTTGTTCCTCCTCAGGATGCACCAAAGGGAGAAACTGGACTGGTTTTTGGTGAGTCTGTTTGATTTGACGTCGTTGTTTTCCCCACTACATCACCTGACGACAGAATCAACACTTGTTTTGTTTGTTTCTTACGCTCTGTTGACTTGCTCTGTAGTTAAACAGCTCTGAGCGTTTTTGTACAAACCTGTAATTGCATTTCTTTCTCACAGATGTGACCCAAGCAGATTTGTTAAAGGTGCACTGTGTAACTTTCTGTCTGTCACGAGGGAGATGTTGTTGCTTTGCCCAGTCTTTTTCACAGTATGATATTAAACTCATCTGTTTCCATGGAGACAAGCACCAAGCCGATGTACAGGTCCGGTCTGTGTGTTTTTTTTATTGCAAAAACACCTATAATTAAATAATAAACAGGTTTAATGCCATACTGTGGTACATTCCGGGCAAAGCAATCTCCCTAGTGTATCTCCAGGTGACGGACTCTTACCAGAAATGTTACATAGTGCAGCTTTAAGGTCACACGTGCTCAAATCAGATGATGTATGAGTGGATCTGATGACTGTGAAATACTAAAGTGCAGAGTCAGTTTGACCACACTGTTTCTCTTCTCCTTTGTCTTTCTCTTTCTCCACCCTCTGTCTAAAACACCTTTCTTTCTCTCTCTCTGCCCTCTCTCTGTCTGCCCCTTCTCTCTCTTTGCCCTTCCTCTCTCTTCCCTCTCTCTCTCTGCCCTTCCTCTCTCTGCCCCTTCTCTCTTTCTGCTCCACCTCTCTGCTCTCTCTCCCTGTCCCCTCTCTCTCTGCCTCTCTCTGCCCTCTCTCTCTCTGCCCCCTCTCTCTGCCCTCTCTCACTGCCCTCTCTCTGCCCTCTTTCTCTGCCCCCTCTCTCTCTGCCCTCTCTCTCTGCCCTGTCTCTGTCTCTGTGCCCTGTCTCTCTCTCTGCCCTCTCTCTGTGCCCTGTCTCTCTCTCTGCCCTCTCTCTGCCTCTCTCTCTCTCTGCCCTCTCTCTGTCCTCTCTTCTCTCTGCCCTCCTCTCTCTCTCTCCCTCTCTCTCTCTGCCCTCTCTCTGTCTTCTCTCTCTGCCCCTTCTCTCTCTGCCTCTCTCTGCCCTCTCTCTCTCTGCCCCTTCTCTCTCTCTCTCTCTCTGCCTCTTCTGTTCCTCTCTCTGCCCCGTCTCCTTGCCCTTTCTCTTTCTGCCCTCTCTCTCTGCTCTCTCTCTCTCCCTTCCTCTCTCTTCGTCTCTCTCTTCCCTCTCTCTCTCCCTCTCTTTCGTCGACAGGGTGCTGGGGCTGTGTAATAACTTTGCGTACGTGGTGATGCTGAGCGCCGCACACGACATTCTGAACAAGCAGGAACACGAGAACTCCACCTCATCTGTAAGAAAAAACACACTAACACCAGAATGAAGGCGACTGGAGGAAAATAATGTCATTTCAATGTGTTCAAACAAGTTTAAATTTGCCTCAGAATATTATAAACTGAATAATCAAGGTCTGTTTGGCAAATGAAAACCACTCACCACCCGAACAGACCACGTGTCTCTCTGATTGGTTAATCTGCCTGTCAATCACGCCTATCTGAAACTGGGATCTGATACGGCCTTGTGTAATGTATATACAAATAAAAAACACAGAAGACCATAGTATTTGCAGCACTGCAGACATGGAAGTATCATTAAGGCACACACACATACAGGCAAAGAGTCAAGTGATCATGTCCACATTTTGAGACACAAAAACAGACTCGGATCAAAATCTTCATTAAGAATTTTTTGTGACATATTTTTGGAATGTGTGACAATGTAACATGGCCAGATCGGTCAGCCAAATTAGCTCTAAATGAGTTTGAAATATGTTTTTATACCGTATTTTGTGCACTATATGGCGCTCTGAATTATAAGGCGCACTGTCATTGAATGGTCTATTTTCAAACGTTTTTCACATATAAACCACACCGGACTATAAGGCGCATTAAACGAAACACAACAGTTAGATAAGTCAGTCAAACTTTATTTAACACATTCACAATAACTCTCAACTTTGTTCAGTTGTAACGCGTAAAAAAAAATACTGTCTGAGACGCTAAATTGTTAGAGTATTCACAATAACTCATAACTGTTCAAACAGTTTGGCGATTCCGGCGTCCAGCACGCCCACATCCCTCTCGTCATTATCCGAGTCAGTGTCGTTACTGTTCCCTGGCAGTTCAGTGATGATTCTGGTCTTGGTGAAAGCTCGGACCACAGTTGATACTGATCCTGAGCCCGGGCGTCCACGATCCATTGGCAGATCGTGGCGTAAGTCGCTCGGCCGCTGTCTCTCTGTCTTGGTGAATGTGTGTTCTCCTTCTCTCATCCACTGCTCCCACGCAGCTCACACTTTCACTTTATAACAGCCTTGAGTTTAAAGTGGGCGTTGTGAGCGTGTCTCTTGACAGGTGCATTTTGATATTAAAAGGAATCAAAGTATGTTTTACTCCTGATGCTCCTGACTACAGGAACCGTAATGCTGCAAGTGGTGCGGCTTTGTAGTTTACTAAAGTCATACTAAGACACCCAATAAACTCATATATAAGGCGCTCTGGATTATAAGGTGCGCAGTCTTTTTTGATTAAATTTAAGGCTTTTAAGTGCGCCCTATAGTGCGGAAAATACGGTACTTCACTTTGCCTCTTTTGAATGTTCTAATGACTTGTCACTTTAAAGTTCATGTATGTACTGTATATGAAGGTAAACAGTGAAATTACTTTATGTCTTGCAGGCGTCCGTCACTTCTGCACATGGCCTCCAGGCTGGAAACAGCAGTAATAGCAGCGTGTACGACTGCAACCCCACCTCCACCGCGGTAAATACTCAAAATCTCTAATAACACATACGCATTTCTTTCTTTAAATCACAAGAAAAGGATAAAAAGTCTTCTGTAAGGAAGCTGAAACGTCTTAGTGCTCAGATGACTGCCTCTGAAACCTTTTCTACATTCTACCAAGATGTTTGCATAATATCTCTCCTTTTATTATTTATTTAAGAGACTCTGGGCTCGAGCTCTTCATTCGTATTCGACACCAAACAGAGGTGTCACAGTATCAAATGTTAGCGTGATAATTACTGGGACGAGAAACCAAATCCAAATCCACTTTATTTTTATAGCACATTTTACAAACAAAGTGCTGCACAGAGATCATAAAATGGAGACAACAAAAAGGTGAAAATTTGGTCATACCAGTCCCAAAACAATAAAACCTGTAAAATCAAATAAAAGCAAAATCATAAAATAGAAGTAAACAGGTAAAATAGATCAAATAAATAGAATAAACAAAAGATACAGACGACCACACAACTAACACTGTGTTAAAAGCCAGAGAATAAAAGTGGGTTTTAAGACGAGACTTAAAACTTAGCACTTTGGGGGCTGTTGGGACGTGGGGGGACAGAGCGTTCCAGAGTTTGGGGCCGGCTACAGAGAAGGTCCTGGTTTTAAGTCTCGTTTTGGCACTACTAGCCCGGAGCTGAACCTCGGACCTCAGAACACTCGCCAGGGGGGTAAATTTGGATGAGGTCTGAGGCGTATTGTGGGGCCAGTCCATTTAAAGCTTTAAAAACAATTAATAAAATCTTAAAATCAACTCTAAAACAAACTGGAAGCTGGTGCAACGATGCTAAAATCGGAGTAATGTGCTCACGTTTTTTTGGTTCCGGTTAAAAGGCGCTTGGCAGAATATTGGACTAACTGTAAACGAGAAAGTGCATGGAGGCTGATGCTGGAAAAAAAGCGCATTAAAGTCATCTAAATGAGAGGAGATAAAAGGTTTAATTGTAAATAAAAGCTGCAAATTGTACATTTTGATTGAAAAATTGTTAAGAGAAATGGTTAATCATTCCTCTAGTTGTGTTCGACCATCTTTCTCAGATCAGACTTCATGAATGATAAAGTGAAGTGAATGCCACATAAACAGATCAGACTGCATTGAGAAAATTATACTTTTTTTTTTTTTTTTTACTTTTTATTTGTTCAGTTTTTCAAGTTTAGAGAAACAAACAAGTAAATACAAAACCTGGGGCACTGTTCCAATGTTATAAAGATATAGAAGTCAAATCTCTTTTTGTTTATATTAACATTTTGTCCAGTGTTTAATGAAGAAATGTCCTTTGAAACGTAGAAAAAAAGTCAGTCGTTCCATGGAATATATTTCTTCTATAATATCTAGCCACTGGTTTACTGACGGTGGGTCCTTTTTAAGCCAGTTTCTTGTTAGTTGTTGCTTTTTTTGATGCCAAAGTCAGAATCTTAAAAAGGTATCTGTCCGCTTTTTCGATCATCACTCCAGGCAGAAGGCCGAACAAAAATATCTTTGGGTCCTTGGGGATAACATAAGTCAAGATCGTATCCGTTTTTTCAAACACATTTTCCCAGAATGATTTTGATTTTGTACATGTCCAAAAAAGCTAATTATTCTTTTATAGTTTTATACTGTGTAATGTTCATCCCTGTGTTTTCCAGGCGGTGCTGTTGGCGGATATCCTCCCCACTCTCTTCATCAAGATGCTCGCTCCGTTCGTCATCCATAGATTCCCATATGGGTAAGACTCTTTTAGTAGTTATTCTGTAATGAATTGTAGTAGTATTTAAACTTGGCATTGACAGTTCTATAAAGTCAAACTGCTGCTTTCACTAAGTGTTTACAGAATTAGTAGTAGTGACTATAACTTGGGTGTCAAACATACGGCCCGGGGGCAGGATCCGGCCCTCCAAGACTTTTAATCTGGCCCTCAGCTGATTTACTACTAAAATATTTTAATTATTTTCCATTAAAATCTTGTTAATTTTCTGCGGTGCTGAGCATAGCAGCGTCTCCAGCGTCTCTGTACATGGCCCCTCCCACCAGAGCAGCACAAATGAAGACTTGTCTCTTTCCAAACGCTCTTAAAGGACGATCGTTTTGACTGTTGACCGTGACACCCTCATCAGAAAAATGTCAAAAAATGAGAAAAGTGGTCATCGAGTGCAGGCTTTTCCAAGAAAAATTGAGTTATTCCTATTTACATACAAGTTCATGTTAAAACTTTGTGTTGAAATTACATTTTTCTGAAAGTTTCAGGTTGTTCATAATATTATAATATTTTGTAAAAGAAAGAGTTCATCAATTAAAAAAGATTTCTCTAATAGATTTGTGTTTCTCTGCACAAATATTTGAACTTATTGTTATTTTGGGGGTTTATATGACATGAGTTTTCTGATCCAGCCCATTTGGGATCAAAGTAGTTTGGATACAGCCCCCGGACCAAAATGAGTTTGACACCCCTGGACTATAACATACAGTACATACAAATAACAATGTGCTGATGTTGCTGCAGGTATCGTATCCTGTTCTGTGCGCTGACGGCTGCTGCGAGTTTCTTCATGGTGTCCTTCTCCTCTGCTCTTTGGATGAGCTTCCTGGGTGAGGACTTTTATCAGAGCAAACATCAGTGTGTAGAAGTTTATGTGTATTCTGTGTGTGTTTTAGTCTATTTACCATCAATTATACGGGGCCCGAGGGAGCTTGAAAAGTCAACACATTGTGATTTCAAAAGTGAACATAGTGTGATCTTTGAGTGTTGAAGCCCCTAGATTCTGCTTCCAAAGGAGGAGGTTTATAAAGCAAGTGTGGTGAGACTATGAAGGACAGTAGACACCGGGTAGACAGAAATATGCCACAATTTAGATAATGGTGCCAATGGTCTGCCAAGGGAAGACCATTGTGTTACTATAACTCCTGTGAGTCCATGTTCCCAGTCACTCAGTTGTCTAGGAAGAATCCATGGCAAAAGGAGAAATTCAATTTGTCAACTGGACAAAAGTTTATTTTGGTCAAATACATTTCTCAGCTCATCCAAGCAGCTCAAACGTATTTGACCAAAATAAACTTTAGTCCAGCTGACAAATTGAATTTCTCCTTTTGCCGTTAAAAAGAGAGATGTACGTGGAGGATAAATTACTTAAATGCTCTTACAGTTTTCAATTGGTTTAAAGTGGAACTAAAAACTAAACACTTTTTCCTGCAAAACTCTTTGTATGGAGCCAAAGATGTTCATTTTGTCTTCTTATGTACTTTAACCTTCGTGTGGAGTTGTAATTGCATTGTCTACTGTTCCTTATCCCTTTGGTAATTGTACTGCATTTGCAGCTTTGTGCTTGCTGTCTCCAGTGATCCCTGTAATTTCAAGTACTATGTGACATCACACAAGACTGTTGCTGTTGCTGATTACAATTTATTTATTTATTTTGGTCACAGGTGTATTCTGACATTATTCCACAGACATATTTAACACACACAGACCGAAAAGGTGCAGGCTGAAGCTTGAGCTTATTTTGCCTACACTTTATGGAGACAAAGTTTGAAATGTAGACACTAATCACTAATTAATATTAAACAGGATATCTGCTTTATTCTTTGTTTACTTTTAATAATAGAAACAGCACAACAGGATGTGTTCATGTGACATCAGCACACAGCTGAGTCAGAATTCACAGGTGTCAGCAAAATATTGGATATAGTGTTGGCTCCTGTGTATCAGTTCAGGGTTAGTAATAAGATGTTTTACTGGTTGTTCTTGATATAAAATGGCTCAACAGTTCCAACATGTTTGGATAAGATTTGCTGACGTGGTTTATGGTTCATATCTCTGTTATGACTGCACCTGTGAAACAACATGAAACAAAAACTGTCAGTATAAATAAACAAAAGTGAAATGATTTTTAGCTTCATAAAGCCGTGGTATCTTCACCTCTAAACTCAAAAGATTGTTGTAAAATTGAGAATAATTGTAGAACATGAATGCAACATATTGATCTGCAAATCTGTCACTGTATCTGAGACCCTGTGTGCGGTGTGTTTGTGCTGCAGGTGTGATTCTGGCCAGTATCAGCTCAGGACTCGGGGAGGTGTCCTTCCTCGCACTCACCGTCTACTTCGACAGGTAACACGAGAGAGTGGAATCAAAATACTATGAACTACAACCTTACAATAATAATAATATTAAAGGTGCACTGCATAACCTTTCTGGTGGAGCAGGGTTTGCTTGTCTGCTTCTTGTCTCCATGTTGAAATGATACTGATTTGGCCATAATGTTCTAATTTGTCATAAGGTGGAATTGCTCCACCGATGCCATCAGCACAGACATTTCTATTACAAATGTCCAGACAATTTAACACATTTTTAAAATATTATGCACATTTGACTCTTGAGACCTTTAAGACATGTTATAATGCTGTTACCTCCTCAAAAGACCTGGAGTTGTGTTTTGTTTCATTCACACATGTTTTATAACTCTTTATTATTAGTCTGTTTACATCTCAAAAGCTGACAAAGCTCTGTACCACCTGTAGCTGTTTTCTGGTCGGCCAGAACGGTCCCGGTCCCGCACCAGTTCAAATGGGAACCAAAGTGTTTTTCAGTGAATGACCAGCGTTCAAACCATTTAAGTGAACCCATGATGCGTCATCGACAGAGGGTGTGGATTTGTCACCAAATTAAAAACAAAACAAGGCCATGCAAAAGCAGATGTCACAGTGAGGAAAATAACAATCATGGATCACATCATCAACACCAGCGAACTCATACAAATCATTATTTATCTGGTCCAAGCTCTGCTACAACATCTGCTGTGGAGAAGGTGGCAGCGACGCCCAATCCAAAAATATAACCTCACCAGGCGAACATGGATACAGCAAATATTTGGTCTCTTTCGCTGACCACTGCACAATCTTCTTGTCACTTGATTTCTCCACCATGTTCCACACACACACGTTTTCTTTGTTTATTTTACCCTGTGTGACCCAGATAAACCTCCTGACGTCTACTGTGTCGTCACGGTTCGCTTGGAAAAAACAGGTTTTACTTGGTTCCCATTGGGAACCTACTTTTCGGTTCCCGATTTTCAGTTCCCCTGATTTTTGGCATGAACATGTCAGTCGGTTTGAGATTAGGTGCGGGAACCGGTACCAGCATCGTTCTCTGTCGACCTGCAAACGCTACTTGTGGTGTCATGAACTCGTAGTTGTCATGTTAACCATTACCATTTACCTTAAGGTAAGTAAAAATTGGCAGTTCCAGGGCTGAAATAAGCACGGTTTGTGAGTTAAACATGTGTGAATGAAACAAAACTCCAGGTCTGTTTGTGATGAGGAAACTACATCAGAACATCAAAAATAGCATAATATGAGGCCTTTAAACATTGGCTGACAAAATAAAGGCGTTCTATCATCTATTTTTATTAGTCTAATCACAGTTCTTGATTATGTTCCTCCTCTTCCTCAGGGATGTGGTGGGGGGCTGGGGCTCTGGTACCGGGGGGGCCGGAGTGATGGGGGCTGTTCTCTACTCTGGACTCACTCAGCTCGGCTTAACACCACGAGTCACGCTGCTCATCATGCTCGTTATACCGGCAGCCATGGTACTCAGGTAAGAAATGTACTCCAATACTTACTACACTCACTTTATAATACATTTGTAGTTTTCAGACACTGTACTTTTACTCCTACTTGAATATTTTGATTGAAGTAACAGTCTAGAAGTGACAAAAGCTTCTAGAAATGATTTGAACGTTTGTGTTTTTTGCAGCGCTCCTTCAGATTTGATTTAGTTTGTCTCGTTTTTGTGTCTCTCCTTTGGAAATACCAGATTTTGTGCATTAATTACTTCAATTTCAATTCAGTTCATATTTATTTCGGACTCTTGGTTCATTTTTAAAACAAACAAGGACAGTGACATTACAAAATGATAAACATTTATATTTTTAAAAGACAGCCATACCAGTGTCTCTGATATTGCACTGAATCTCGAATTTGTGAGTGACATTATTATTTCATTGTCTGATTTGATTTTGATTTACTGTTTGCTCCTTTATTACATTAACTTCAAATTAGAAATGAAACTTTTACTTACTTCTTGGACCACTACTTTGTATTTCTACTCTTGGAATGCCTTGGAAGTAATTAGTATTTTCCAAAGAAGAAAAAAATTCCAATTTAAGAGCTAAAACATGCCAGAGAAATTATAAATAACCATTATGCAAAACTAGAGCCGTTCCATTACCCACAAATCTTCTAGTTGTGTTCTAGTTGCATGAAATAAACGGCGAACTATGTGTTGTGTTACAGTTACTTCTTCCTGCTGGTGCCTCCTCCGTCTATGCCCCAGTGGAGCACGAAGGACCCCCCGTGCGCAAGTCTGTGTTCAGAGGAGACGCAGGGGCTGATGGACTCCGCAGAGGACGAGGACGAGGACAGAACCGCACCCGGTAAGTTCACCGCAAACCCCAACGCCTCGAGTAGGAGAAATCTGAATGAATCTGCGTGTAAGGTGACCGGATGTCTCTATTTACCTGGGACAGTCCCAGTTTTGACCAGTGATTTGTCACAGTTTTATACAAGAAATGTCCCAAATGTCCCTATTTTTGACAAATTTGATACCAGCCAATGGTAAAGAGAGGCATAAATTGTGATTTGTTTCAGTAAAATACAGAAAAGCTGCTTAAAAATGACCATAACACAAATGAAAATGTGACTATACTGACTGGAAGGGGCTCCTCGCGTATCGCCCGTAGACTCCAGTGGCTGCGCTCTTCACTTAATAACCCTGAATCTGGCTCACTGGCGGCCTTAGTCCAACCCGAAAAGTCAAATGTTCTGGCCGTAGTTGATACCATACTATACCAACTTTATTTATAAAGCACTTTAAAAACTTTACAGTCGGCCAAAGTGCTGCACACAAACACAGGACAGACAATGACAACTGCAGTAGAAGAAAATACATGGTGCACATACAATACAGCTACTAAAAAACATAGAAAACAATAAAATACTCAACAAGAAATATACATGTTATACTTAATAAAAACCAGTGAAAAAAGGTGTGTTTTTAGGAGTTAAAAGTTTAAAAACAGGTACAGACTCGGCCTGTCTAATCTCTAATGGCAACTGGTTCCAGAGCCGAGGGGCAGAAACAGAAAACGCACAGTCCCCACGAAGCTCACGTTTAGTTTTTGGGACGGCGAGCTGGAGCTGGTGTGCTGACCTGAGAGTGCGAGAGCGGCCATAACACTTAAAAGTAAATAAAAAAATTCTAAAATCAACTCTGAAAGACACTGAGAGCCAATGAAGAGAAGCTAAAACAGGTGAGATGCTCTTGTGTTTCCGGGTTCCAGTTAAAAGTCGAGCTGCTGAGTTCTGGACACGTTGCAACCGGCAAAGTGCATTTTGGCTGACACCAACATAAAGTGCGTTACAATAATCCAATCTATTCGTCACAAATGCATATATGACAGTTTCGAAGTGTGGCGTTGACAAAATAGGCTTAATTTTGGCCAGTTGTCTTAACTGGAAAAAACTAGATCCTAAAGAGGTCGTTGCAGACACGGCTTTGACCCAAAAGTCAGATTTTTATTTATTTATTTGAAAAGGGACAATGCACATTAATCAAAATCAAAACAATGTAAATGTTCCCGAGTTCGCTGATAAGAGCTCATTTGCATCGATAGTCCCTTTGCCAAATGTCAAAAAGGCATCCTAAAAGAAAATACACTTAAAAGTTACACATAAAAAATTACACAAATGTACAATAAGATTACAAAAATACAATAAAAGTTTTAGTGTTCACACATTTGCGTTTCTAAAAGCCACTTTTTAACATTCTTTTTAAAAGCAGAGAATGAGGGAGATGTTCTGACAGCTTCAGGCACAAAGATCCACTGACAGGACGCTCTGACGAAAGAGAAAACAGACCAAATACAGTTTTTCTATGAGGAATAATGCAGCCTTCCCTCACTGCTCCTCTGGTCACTCTGCCCTCACTAGATCTGAAATGAACAAAGTCATTCAGCGAAGGGAGAGCCGAGCCATGTTTAATCTTGTACATTAGACAGATATTTTAAAATTTAATAAGATCGTCCCAGGTCATTAATTTGTATTTCTGCAAAATGTGACAATGGTGGTATCTATTTTAACAAATAGTATGAACTAAAATGCAAAAAATAAGGCCAGAGATAGGTATACATATCTATTTTAGACTCATTTAGTCAGATAATCAGTAGAAAAAAAATGTGTGAGTTGGTTGATCTCAAGTCTGAAGCAACAGACTAAAGGACGAGTCAGTTGTCAGAATAAAAGAGTGTTTCTCTCGTGTTTCCGTAGGGAGAGCTGTGATGGTAAAAGGACCTCTGAGTTTCACTGAGAAGATCCAGGTGTTGAAGGTAAAGATGTGACCGTACCCCCCTCGTCTTCTCTCTGCTCTGTGTGTGTGCGATCTCACTCTGCCCTTGTGCCCATGAGCAGGGCCTGTTGAAGTTTATGATTCCTCTGGGGATGGTCTACTTCGCAGAGTACTTCATAAACCAGGGATTGGTGAGTCTCTGTTACTTTCTGTCGTCGCTGAATGAACAACTTTAACGACTTTAACTGGTCTTAAACAATTTTGATTAATTTAGTTTTAGTAGGGTTTGATACCTATATTGTTAATGGGTAGAAAAATATTGGATATGATTATTATATTATATATTATATTATATATTTTAGGGTTCCCACAGTCATGGAACTCCTGGAAAAGTCACAGAAATTGAAAATGTCATTTTCTAGGCCTCAATGAAAGATGGAAAAATCATGGAATTTTACTATCTCTTTCACGCAACTACAGTGTTCTGTTAAGTTCTCATGAGGCTATTATGATTATTTCTGAACGTCTGTGCCTTTTGTTTAAAAGCGACAACAATAAATGCACTGACAGGATTTAGAGTATTAAAAAACTATAATCCCAAACCATAATGTGAGTGGAAAGGGTTAACGTTTCATATTTAGCCCTAAAACTATGATAAATTCTGCACATGTAAGTGCTGTAAACTCATGGAAAATTCACTTTAGGTCATGAAAAAATCATGGAAAAGTTTTGAAATTTTGTCAGTGAAAAAGACTGAGAAACCTTATATTGGCTCCTGTGTATCAGGTTTCAGGGTTAGTAGTGACATGTTTTACTGGATTTTCTTGATATAGAATGGCTCAATAGTTATAACATGTTTGCATAAGTTTTGTAAGAAGTTAAAAGTGTTTTAAACTAAGATATTTGTCCAGGATCCAGAATATACACTTCTCCAGGATGTTATAAAGATGTGAGTCTGGTCACTAGTGCACCTCAGATGGGCTTGATTGACAGGTGGATTAGCCAATCAGAGACATGCATGGTCCGTCTGTATCAACACAAATATGGATGTTTGTGAGAAAGAAATAAAAAAAATATCACAGTGGGCTGAAAAACGTCACAGATTTCTGCAGAATCAATGAGTGAATCACTCATTGATTCTGCAGAAATCTGTGATGTTTTTCATCAAACTGCTCTCACCTCAGACTAACAGAGTTTAGTGAAACTCTGTTAGTCTGAGGTAAGAGCAGTTTGATTTTGTTCTAAATTAATGGGGAGAAAAAAAGGTTTTGGGGTTAAAATTATATTTTGTTTGCATAATATGTAATTTATTTTGCTATATGTAAATATTTGTTAAGTTCTGTGATCAATGTACAGAAGCAACTACATCAATTTTGAAACTATGTCATGAACAGGGGTGGGTTAATATAAGTTTTCTTCTTCCCACTCCTTTTCGAGAAATGTGCTTTTCTGTTGTTTACAGTGTATATGGAGTAGTATTAAACATGATTATTGTTTCTCTCTTGGCACAAACTCGAAATAAAAATGAATGAATCAATCAATCCATCCATCAATTTATCAGTATTATAGATCATATTCTGGACTCGCCAGACAAGAAAGATGCATTTTCTGGGTATTGGGTGTGGTGGATATCAAAATCAAAAATCAAAATCAGAAACAAAAAAAGTTATTGTTGGAGAAAATTCTGATGAGCTCAAATGATTTAACTTCTGACATTTTCTCTGGCTGTTTCAGATGGAGCTGCTGTACTTCCCTGGCATTTTCCTGTCTCACGCTGAACAATACCGCTGGTCAGTTTGATTTTTAAATATATATCATTAAATGTATCCCACTATTCATGTAAATAACGCAATTAAAATGTGTGTGTGTGTGTGTGTGTGTGTGTGTGTGTGTGTGTGCAGGTACCAGACCCTGTACCAGGTGGGAGTGTTCGTGTCTCGCTCGTCTCTGTGCTGCTTTAAAATCCGTCAGCTCTGGCTCTTCGCACTGCTGCAGGTGAGCACAAAAACCTGCAAACGTTTAGCCAAACATTTGTGACTTTTTACTTGAGCCTTTCAAAAACAGACTTGGAGTGGTGTTTTGTTTCATTTGCGCTGTTGCTTTTCGTAATATAAATATCTTTGTTGCCAGCAGATTTGACTATCTCGAAAATATTGCTGTTTTTTTCTAATTCCATAATGTTAAAAAATCTAAATTGCACAATAGTTATAATTAGACTATTAAAAATAAATGACAACACCTTTATTTTGTTAAAACAATGTTTAAATCCATGTTGATGACGACGGTAAAGGGATTGACCTTTTTCACAACGTCTGGAACGTAGGTTTGTGGAACTTTTGTTTAATGTTTTTTTGTGGCAAAATATCTGTGTAAATGTGTGTCATATTCTCCGCCAGCTTCATAAATCTGCCCCATCACCAAATCTTCAACCAACAAGGTAAAATAAAAAAATCTTCAAGGTAAGAAAGATGAAAACTTTAAAGCGAACAACGACTACAGAGCAAAACTATAAACTGCAATAATAATAAAATGGTAAAACAGTCAGTTATTATCAGCTGTACACAGTGTTGGGAAGGTGATTTTTAAAATGTAATCCCCTACAGATTACAGATTACATACCCCAAAATGTAGTTTGTAATGTAATCCATTAAATTACTTAAAGTGAGTAATGTAATCTGAATACTTTGGATTACTTGATTTGCTGTAGAGAAGCAAAGACCAGGAAATCTTCACATAAGAAGTTTTGTCTGATAAAAGAAAATAAAAAGCCCAGACTTTACTGAACCAAATTAAAAATATTATTGATAGAAGACGAGGAGACACGTCCACGCAGCAGGATTTAGTCCTGTTAAATCCTGTGTGAGACATAGTTTAGACCTGGTCTTAGTCCTGGTTTAGTCCTGGTCTAGTGTTGGTTTAGTCCTGGTTTAGACCTGGTTTTAGACCTGGTTTTAGACCTGGCATAGACCTGGTTTGGACCTGGTTTTAGACCTGGTTTTAGACCTGGTTTTAGACCTGGTTTTAGACCTGGTTTAGACCTGGTTTAATGTCCGGCAATGAGTGGAATTACCGAGGGAAAAAAAAAAAAAAAAAGAGATATAGCCCAAAATGTGAAAACAGGAAAATATCCATGTGTAATCCATTTATTTCAACAAAGTAACTGTAATCCAATTACCACTCACTGAAACAGTAACTGTAACTGAATACAGTTACTCATAATTTGTACTCAGATTACGTAACTCTGGTACATGTAATCTGTTACTCACCAGCACTGGCTGTACAGTATTATTTGTAGATCGATTGTCAGTTTTGGTCAGTTTGTACTTGTAGACCAGGTCTGAGAGAGTAAAAATACTTGTAGAACGGGTCTGTACTTGTGGACCAGGTGAAAAACAGTACCAGAACATGTAGGCTGAGTCAGTACTTCTGGATGAGATGCAGTAGAAGTACTTGAAATACTTGTGGACCAGGATATCATAAATTATTTTTTTTATTTTAATTGTAGAATCAGTCTGAGTTAAAAAGTTACTTATGTTTTATGCATGACCATAAAGTTTTGCTCAGTAATTCACTAATGCGTCGTTGTTGTTCTCCTTTAAGCTTTCGTCTTTCTTAACATGATAGTTGTGGATAAATTCTTCATGGGGGAATATTATCCTTTGTGGACCTTGTTGGTTGAAGATTTTTTTAATTTTTACCTTGTTGGTTGAAGATTTGTTGATCGGGCAGATTTATGAAGCTGTTGGAGAATACGCCAGAAAATTTCACAGACATTTTACCACAGAAAACCATTAACCAGAAGTTCTGCAAACCTACAGCGCGGCATATCCGGCCGTTGTGAAAAAAGGTTTACCGGTTGCATGCACTTTTCTTGTTCTGCTTTTATTCTGTATTAACACGTGTCATTTGATCTGATGTCCACAGATACTAAACACCGTGCTGCTGGTGTTCGCCGTGGCGTTCCGGTTCATTCCCTCCGTTTGGATAGTTTTCGCCATTATCCTGTACGAGGGTCTTTTGGGAGGGGGCGGCTACGTCAACACATTCTACTTCATCAGCAAAGAGGTGAGTGCCGGCCCCCTCTAGTGTCCACAGGAGGTAGTGAAAGCTGATTGTTTATGTACACGGAAATGATAAGTGTACATACACTCAGTGTTCCTGAGCAAGACACTTCTCCCCAAAAGCCCAGTACAGTTACTCGAGGACGCTGAGGATTCTGAAGTAATAAACGCAAACATAAAATTAAAATGGCGCCAAATAAAAGTCAAGATTAAATATTTAAAAATGTTGCAGACTTTAAAAATAAAGTTAAATTTGCAGTAGGTTCAGTTTTGCCCCTAAACAAGAAGATTGCCTATTCAATTTCTGCTTCAGTTTTTTAAATTAATTTGGACACTGATGTTGGTACAGTCTGTAGCTAAATGTTTTATGTATATTTCTTTATAAGAGGGGTCTCCAACCTTTTTCCTCCTGTGAGCTACTTTCTGTAAAATGAAAATGCCAGAGAGCTGCTCGTTTAGCAGTTGTCAGAAACAGAAGTATAAAAGTCATGGTAAACCTCAGACGAGGTACAGTTAGAGGCTTATAAAATATAAACCATTATCCACTTATCAGTTTACAAAGTTAGGCATCAAAATGATACATTTACAATGGAAATAGGCATTTAATCGATCAAATTTTAGTTATTCAATTCAATATGTACAATACATATAAGTAAAAATCTTATGGTGAGCTACTGTATTTTCCGGGCTATTAGTCACTCTGGATTATAAAACGCACTGTCATTAAATGGTCTATTTTCAAACTTTTTTCACAAATAAACCACACTGGACTTTAAAGGAAACACAACAGTGTGATGGGTGAGTGGTTTTGTTTGTTTGTTCGTTCACGGTGACTCTGGGCTTTGTTCAGTTGTGGCGTGTAGGGAGGTGCTGTCTGGGACCAACGGATTGTCGGCGTGTTCGCAGTGACTCAATTGTTCAGTCGTGTCTAGAAGCGGCACATTGGACTCGCTTTTTTGGTTCGTTCCTCCGTTCCGTTCCTCGTCGGCGTGGAGTGATGAGTGTGTCTGTGGGTGTTTTTCGTTGTGCTGTCGCTGTCTGCTCCGTGTGTGTTTGTGTGTTCTGTGGGTGGTGCGGCTTTGTAGTTTACTGAAGTCGTGCTGGGACACCTGAGTGGATTCGTGTATGGGGCGCTCTGGATTGTGGCGCACAGTCGGTTTTTGATGGGGTTGGAGGCTTAAGAGAGCGTCTAATAGCCCGGAAAATACAGCACTTGGAAGGGAGTGGAGATCTACTGGTAGCTCCCGAGCTACAGGTTGGAGACCCCTGGTTTATAGTTTTATCTCATGTGTAAAGTGGGACTAAACACCTAAACTCCAATGTAGTTTGCACTAAAATGTCCAAAACATGACGAGGTACAGGAGAAAATGCTTTTAAAACACCATGTACACAGTTTAGCCACAAAAGAGCTTAAGCAAATTTAGTGTTTAGTTCCTCTTTAAATGTTCTTCATCACAGCAGCAGTTTATTCTGTGAGTCTGAATGTTTGTGTTGGTGTCGTTCCAGACGGAGGAGCGTCACCGTGAGTTTGCCATGGCTTTGGCCTCTGTGGGCGACACGATGGGCATCTGTCTGTCCACCGCACTGTCCTTCCCTGTCCACAACTACTTCTGCTCCCTCTGACCTGGAGTATAAGTACTTCTGCTCCCTCTGACCTGGAGTACAAGTACTTCTGCTCCCTCTGACCTGGAGTACAAGTACTGCTACTGCATCTGACGCAGTCTACAAGTACTACAACTACTTCTACTGTCTCTGACCTGGTCCACAAGTACTACAAGTACTTCTACTCTTTCTGACCTGGTCTACATGTACTTTTACTCTTTCTGACCTGGTCTACATGTACTTTTACTCTTTCTGACCTGGTCTACATGTACTTTTACTCTTTCTGACCTGGTGTACACATACACTGCAGTCTCTGACCTGGTGTACATGCACTTCTACTATTTTGACCTGGGCTACAAGTACTTCAGCAGCATTTAATCTGATCTATACGAACTTCTACTGCATCTGACCTGGTGTACAAGTACTTCTACTGCATCTGACCTGGTGCACATGTACCTCTACTGCATCTAACCTGGTCTACAAGTACTACAACTACTTCTACTGCATCTGACCTGGTGTACATGTACTGACTTGCTCTAAAGTACATGTACTCTCATTAACCTGACCTACAAGTACTTCTTCTGTTTTTAACCTGGTCCACAAACATTTTTACTGTCTCTGACCTGGTCCAGAAGTACTGACCCGGTCTACAAGTACTTTTACTCTCTCAGACCTGGCCTAAGTATTTCTACTTTGACCTGGTGCACATGTACTTTTTCACTTTAACTGACCAAAACTGACAGTCGATGTACAGATAATACTGTACAGCTGAAGATGACTGACGGTTTTAACATTTTATTTTTATTACACATAGTTTTATGCAGATTATATTTGACTAAGTTGGTACAAATATCATCTTATTTGTTTGGTCTTTGAGTGAGGGTTAATATAGTAACAAATGTCCTCATATTTCTACTTATTTGAAATGATAAAAATGCCCAAAACATTTTTATTTACTATTCTGAATTACCCATTTACACTTTGGTTTAACATTAACTCCACCAAATGATTTGAAAATAATGTAATAGATCTTGTGTGTCACTTTGAACTCATTCTTATCCTGATTTTTACAGTTTTAAGTAGTATTTTTAAACTAGTGTGTGATGAAGGACCAAAGTGCCTTAACTGTGAATTATTATCTTTTTTTCTTTTTTTAATCTTGTAAATGTGCTGCTACTGTTACATTCTATATCAACTCACAACATTGACTCGTCTTTGGCTTCGATCACGTTTCGTTTCACGTAAGTTCTGGTTTAGACCTGGTTTAGTCCTGGTTCAGCTCTGGTTTAGACCTGGTTTAGTCCTGGTTTACACCTGGTTTAGTCCTGGTTCAGTTCTGGTTTAGTCCTGGTTTAGTCCTGGTTCAGTTCTGGTTTAGTCCTGGTTTAGACCTGGTTCAGTTCTGGTTTAGACCTGGTTTAGTCCTGGTTCAGTTCTAGTTTAGACCTGGTTTAGACCTGGTTTAGACTTGGTTTAGTCCTGGTTTAGACCTGGTTTAGACCTGGTTTAGTTCTGGTTCAGTCCTGGTTCAGTTCTGGTTTAGACCTGGTTCAGTTCTAGTTTAGACCTGGTTTAGTCCTGGTTTAGACCTGGTTTAGTCCTGGTTCAGCTCTGGTTTAGACCTGGTTTAGTCCTGGTTCAGCTCTGGTTTAGACCTGGTTTAGACCTGGTTCAGTTTTGGTTTAGACCTGGTTTAGACCTGGTTTAGACCTGGTTCAGTTCTGGTTTAGACCTGGTTTAGTCCTGGTTTAGACCTGGTTTAGTCCTGGTTCAGTTCTGGTTTAGACCTGGTTTAGTCCTGGTTCAGTTCTGGTTCAGTTCTGATTTAGGTAGTTCTGTTTTTTTTTTTTTTGTTTTTTTTACAATAAATCCTTAAAACTCCAAAGTAAAACTCCACCTTACGTGAAATAATCTGAGTTTGTTAAAAGTGCTGCTATTGCGAGAGTGAGACTGGTGCACGACGACAATTCTAACAAATGATTGGACAAGAAATACAGAAAATTATATCTGTAAATTTGACTAATAATCCGTTTATCCTTTATTTCTATTGCTCGGTGTAAGTGATCCTGTTGTGAAGGACAAGTACAAGAGAAAATTGTACGGGATTCTGTCTTTTTGTGTTAGAAAAAGTCGACTAGACTCCCTCTGAAACTCAAGGGCAGGAGGTGGTTCTTGGTTTACAGTATTTTTAAAAAGACTTGGGAACCTTTTTTTGATGTATACTGGACTTGAGATCTGAGCTATTATGAATATTTACATTCTGAACTGGGTGTATCTGTGTTTAATAAATGAATGGGTCAATGTTGGTATTGTTTTTATTATTATGTTGTTTATTTTGTTTAAACTAAAAAATAATAAATATACATATATGCAAAAAAAAAAAAAGAAAAAAGTGGTGGTTTATTCACATATAGTGTCATATTGTCGTAAAATTTAAAACTGGTTTAGACCTGGTTTAGTCCTGGTTTAGTCCTGATTTAATCCTGGTTTAGACCTGGTTTAGACCTGGTTTAGTCCTAGTTTAGACCTGGTTTAGTCCTAGTTTAGACCTGGTTTAGTCCTAGTTTAGTCCTGATTTAATCCTGGTTTAGACCTGGTTTAGACCTATTTTAGACCTGGTTTAGTCCTAGTTTAGACCTGGTTTAGTCCTAGTTTAGACCTGGTTTAGTCCTAGTTTAGTCCTGATTTAATCCTGGTTTAGACCTGGTTTAGTCCTAGTTTAGACCTGGTTTAGTCCTAGTTTAGACCTGGTTTAGTCCTAGTTTAGACCTGGTTTAGACCTGGTTTAGTCCTAGTTTAGTCCTGATTTAATCCTGGTTTAGACCTGGTTTTGACCTGGTTTAGTCCTAGTTTAGACCTGGTTTAGTCCTAGTTTAGACCTGGTTTAGTCCTAGTTTAGACCTGGTTTAGACCTGGTTCAGTTCTGTTCTTCAGTATTATTATGTTTATTTTGCTTAAACTAAAAAGTAATAAATATATATGCAAAAAAGTGGTGGTATATTCACATAGTGTCATGTCGTCAAAAAAATTTAAAACTGGTTTAGTCCTGGTTTAGTCCCGGTTTAGACCTGGTTTAGACCTGGTTTAGACCTGGTTTAGACCTGGTTTAGTTTTATCATGATTTGAATACTTGATGAGTAAAATTTTCTGCCAATGGAACAAAACTTTTTGTACTTAAAACATGAAAACACATCTTGCTGCACTTAAGATAAGAAAACAACAACTCTTTGCTTTTAAAATAAGAAACAAAATCAAATGTTGCTTGAATTAAGAACAACACACTTATTCCATTTGTAGATCATTTTACTTGTCACATTGAATTGACTCAAATAAAGTAAAATATTGTTAATTTAAGTCATTTTAACTCACCTAGGTGTTACTTTTTGCAGTGTGATTGCGACACATGGGCAGGGAGTTACAGCTTCATGTGTAAATAAAAAAACTTCCCCAATTTGTCAACTTCAAATAAAGCCCAAGATGAGCTCTGTGTCTCCAGCGGATCACCTGCGATCACAGAAATGATGTTCCACAGCCCAAACCGACGGAGAGAATTTTCAGTCGCACTGGGAGATTTCAGGATAAACATTCAACTTAACTCTCATGGATTTGATTCAAACTCGGCACAATTCATGTTTATTTATGAAATATTGTCTAAGTGAAATTTGAGTCTTGTATCTTTTAAAATGTTTGAGTTTTGGGGGTTTAAACGGGGAGTCGGTTCAAAATCAGACCTTGCAGGAAATAACAGCTTCCTTAGCCGTAGACAGCAGATTATTCTATTTTATTATAACTTTTTATACTTTTTTATACAGTTTATAAGTTTTTTTTAGACAATGTGTTATAAATGTGTAAGATATGGCCTGTGTAACATGAGTTTAAAGCAACATCAGTGTAACTGTGAGACATGATTTATATATTTATACCAGGAGTCAGGAGTTTTTTCTCTGGGGGTCACATTATCGTCCTGACTGTGATGGACCCTGATGATGCAGATTATATTCTTTGAAAACCACCACACTTTCTTTACATATGAGATAAACTGCACGGTCCAACACTGAACAAAAAAACAATCGGTCGTCCACTGTTCTATGAAAACTGGGCACTCTCTGTCAACTTCTTTTTCTACTTTAATACGAGTCATTTTGTTGTTCTTAACTGCACCACAGAACTCTGCACGTGCGTCGACTGACACTGTTTGATCTCGAACATGTCACGTGACAAAAATTCGGTGGGTAATTCAGTGTCATATAATTATTTAAATATAAATACTTCATATAATTATATTTTTAAATTGAAGATTGTCTCATCGGCCAGTTCAAGTGGTGGGGGTCAAAGGGCGTGGAGGGCCGGAGTTGGCCCGCGGACCTTAGTTTGATAAACCCTGATTGTCAAGTCTTTAATTAAGGAAAATAGACACAAGGATCAACTCAGCTTGAAGATTTTTATTGAAATTATTCAGTTCCTTCAGCAGAAGTAGTAGTAGTAGTAGTAGTATTTGTAGTAGTAGCAGTTGCAGTAGCAGTAGCAGGTCAAAAACCTTTAAAGTAAACAAATATGCGTAATAATTAAATTAAATTTACATTTTCCTTAAATCATTTAATCTATTTGAATTTTAATTAATATACTTTAATTATAATATTTATTCATTTACCTTTTACACATGAACTTATTTTACTAATTAATTTTTAATCTTCAATATAACTTATTTTTTATATAATTAAATGTTTTTATTATATGAATTAAATGTAATATTTTATCATTTTAAGACAAATTTAAATGAATTAATATTTTTTAATTGCTAAATAATATATGTATGTATGTATATAAACTACTCAAAACAATTAGGGGAACACTTTATTTTTGGGATATCACAGACATATATTGGCGCATTGGAGTTTTCCACCGAGCCAGTTTGGAACCTTAGTGACCTGTGAATCAGTTTCACTGCCTTTGACCCAATTGCAATAAACAAGGTCTAGACAGGATTGTCAAAAGCGAGCCAACCTCCAAATCTGGAGTGAGTTACCTTGTGGTAGCCACGACGATTTTGTGCTCCTGACCTTCCGAATCGTTATTTCTTTCTTGTTTGAGGAATTTCTGATCATTTTGACTCTATTGCAAACATGATGCGTTACCTTCAGCCTTGTGAAGTCACACAGACAGTCCAGCTGCTGGAGGATGGATCATCTGTACGTCAGGTGGCCAGAAGGTTCAGAGTGTCTCCCAGCGTCATCTCCCGTGCATGGAGTTGCTTTAGAGAGACGAGCCAGTACTCCAGGAGGCCTGGACAAGGCCGAATAAGGGCCACCACCCAACAGCAGGACAGTTTTCTCCGTATATCTGCGATGCGGTCGAGGAGAAGCACTGCTAGGTCCCTTCAAGGAGACTTTCAGCGGGCCACTGGAGTACGCATTTCTGACCAGACTGTCAGAAACAGACTCCACGAGGGTGGCATGAGGGCCAGGCGGCCGTTGGTTGGTCCGGTTCTCACCGCCCAGCACCGTGCAGCCCAACTGGCCTTCAGCAGGGACCACCAGAATTGGCAAGTTCGCCACTGGCGCCCAGTACTGTTCACAGATGAAAGCAGGTTCACTTTAAGTGCATGTGACAGACGTGACTGAGTCTGGAGACGCCGTGGAGAGCAATATGCCGCATGCAACATCATTCAGCATGACTCATTGAGTGGTGGGTCAGTTATGGTCTGGGGAGGCATATCTCTGGAGGGTCGCACAGACCTGCATGTGCTTAATCAAGGTACCATGACAGCTGTTATGGATAGAGATGAAATCCGCAGACCCACTGTTCTACCGTACGCCGGTGCAGTGGGCCCCGGATTTCTTCTGGTACAGGAGAATGCCCGACCTCATGTAGCCAGAGTGTGCCACCAGTTTCTGGATGAAGAGGGCATCAATGCTGTGGACTGGCCCTTGCGTTCTCTGGACCTGAACCCCATTGAGCACCTCTGGGACATTATGTATCAGCATATTTCGGCAGCATCCAGCCACACCAGAGACTGTCCAGGAGCTTACCAATGTGCTGATCCAGGTCTGGCAGGAGATACCCCAGGACACCATCCGCCGCCTCATCAGGAGCATGCCACAGCGTTGTTGAGACTGCATACAGGCTCGTGGAGGGCATACCCACTACTAAAGTGGCTGTGCAATGTGCTGTGCTGCAAATTCATCATTTCTTCCATCGTCATTTCTCCCTACAGTCACTTTGTTTTTCAACATCATTTCATAATTCGGTCCTTCAAGAGTTAACTTTTGTTCTTCTTGACCAGTTTGACGCTCCCAGTGTTCAGGGTACATTGGGAATTTAGTTTCAGTACAAAATTTTAACATTTGTGCATTCGACATTGAGTTTGGTAATAAAATACAAGTGTTCCCCTAATTGTTTTGAGCAGTTTATATATATATATATATATATATATATATATATATATATATATATATATATATATATATATATATATATATATATATATATATATATATATATATATATATATATATTTATTTTATTTTTTTTTTTAATTAGTGTGACTTTAACTTAGTCAGTACATTTTACACCATTTGTCATAAATCTGATTATATTTAAACAATTTAATTTTTATTTTAACAATTTATACATGAAGTGCCTTTCATAAGTTTGACAGACCAGTATGAAGTTTTGCTGTGACAGTAGAGCTAATAATCCTATCCATGCTAACCGTGCTCTTCCTGATTCTCTGACAAAAAAAAAAAAGCTTTTCAAATAGATGCAAACAGAACACCGCAGTCTTATTCTGACCTCAAGAGCCGCTTATGTAACACATCTGTACTGCGGCAAGAAACATTTTAGCTCAAATACATAGAACAAAACTCAACAAAATCAGCAGCATTTTTGGATGAAAACCAACTCTCACTGTGGACATTTTCACTTGTTAAAATTGCAGCTCTCCCATCTGGTGTGGACCTGTTTTGCCTCCAGGTTTAGGCTTTTTTTTATGTCCTACTTTCCTCCTGATACATCAGCGAAGTCTCACTAATATTTGGACAGAAGGAAAGGCAAGAGAAGTTTATTTGTACAGCACAAATCGTACACAAAGTCATAAGAAATACATAAAAATCACAAAACAGACAAATCAAAACATAAATAATCATCATAAAATTAAAGAGAGAAACATTAAATGAGAGAGAAGAGAGCGGAATGAAAAACTTTCAGTCACGCGCAGCTAAATAAATAAATAAACCGACACTCCAGCCCATGGTTCTCAAACATTTTAATTCAATTTATACTTGTCAGATCCAAAACGCAGCTTCAA